CCCAGGTTGAGAACCACAGTTCTCGAGAGATGTAGACATCCACACAATTTATACTTCTCTGGGCTAAGAGTAAGTTATAGGTACACACACCGATTGTACCCAAGTTGGGATCTGGACCTCTGATGACCTGGTTGGCTTCTAATCCAGCAAGGGGTTGCCACCCTACTTTGGGGCTGGTGTCTTGGTGATGTGTATGGCCTCTGATCTGGTCGGGGGTCCTCTGGGGTTCAGGATGCTGGCCTGGCTTCTGGTGGGTGTTAGAGTCTTCTGCCAGTGGTGTGAGCTGTGGTAGGATGGGGAGAGGAGGGCAGTTGGAGTTGCTGGGTGGGTGAGGGCAGGGCAGGAAGTGAAGGACAGGGTGGTGGCTTCCCTGTTTTGAGGGAACTGGCCTGGCCTCTGATCGGGTAGCAGGCTTCCGACAGAGGTGTGGGCTGGGATATGGATGGCAAGGAGGAGGGGTGGTTGGGGTTATGCTGGGCAGACAGAGGCCGGGTTTGAGGGGGGCAGTCTTGCCTTGGGTTCAGGGAGCTGGCCTGGCACCCGGTGGGGAAGGGGGCTTCCAGCAGAGATGGGTGGGGAAATTTTTTCTGCCCCCTCTGATTCATATTACCAGACAACCAGGCAACTGTCTAGACAAACCTCTAGGCAGGTGGATTGTACAGCAAATATCCCAGTGTGAGCTCTGTGCCTGGGATGGTCACAGCCTCTTCTGCACTCCCATTCACAAAGAGAATACGGGATCAGAAAGTCTAAACCCTTCATGGTAGTTTTCGGTGACTTTTTGGTAACGTTCACCCCACCCTGCCTTGATAGGTTGATTGGTTTTTCAAACCGGTCTCATTTTCCCTTTCGTCAGTTCGACTTGAATTGTGCTAATATACCAACATGTGCCTTTGCCAGGGGCCTCAGAAATCTCTGAAGTGAATACCTTTGGTTTGGTCTTCCATCCCCCCACAGCGACCTGAGCAGATTTGTGTGATGAGTACAGACAGAAGCTGCCCCCTTCTGCTGTATAGCTGAGCTGTTTCACGGTTGTCCAGAAGTTTACTCTACTCCATGGCAACAAGCGTTCTGCCCAGATTTCCCATCTGGTGTTTGAAGCCTGCGTCTTGCAGAGACTTGTACCACTGATAGTCACTATTCATCTGCCTTTGGCTTCAGTACTTCTGACGTTATCACTATTGCTCATCCTAAACAGCCCTCTCGTTTCAAGTAAGAGGCACTTGGCCTTGTTTACTTAGCAGAAGAAACTTCGGTTCCTCATCTCGAAAATGAAGGGTTTGGCTGAGAAAGCCCCTGCCAACTGTTTTTAATGATTTGTGTATGTGATTGACAGTTTGCCTAGACAGAGACCACGGCTTGTAAGGTGGAAGGCCTGAGGGCCATGCCAGACTCTTAAATGAGCGAGCAAGTGAATGGCATCATGAACCCTGGCTGTCTAGGAGTGAGGAGGCCATTTCACCATGAAGAACGCATCAGTTGTATTTTTCACTAGATTTTCTTTTTAGAGAGTTCTTAAAAATAAATCTGAAGGCTGAACATGACTTACAACTCCTGATTGTTTATGGTCTGGCATGTTCCTTCTGTTCTTGTCTAGTGCCTGTTCTGGGTCTCCCCAGGTGTGTGTGGTGTTTCTGAACATACTGAACATATCCTGTGTTAGTCTTTTGATAGTCTCAACTATTCTAGTTACCCCAACCTACCAAATGTCATATGTGTTATAGTCACTATGAATCGATGGCTCCCAATCCCTGCTACTCAACTAGAGGGCCACAGACAGTGCTGGATGAACAAATATGCAAATAAGAGCAAGAAGAAATGGAAGCCTTGGATTGTGAATTGAAGTTCTCTAAGCTGGTGCTCCAATACCATTGCCAGCTGGTCTTTATTGGTTGTGCCTCTTGCTGCTTCCGCTTCCCCACCTCCATTGCTGGCATTCTCCTGCTGTCCTTTTTGGTCTACCCTGGATATTTATCCAGCACCAATTCATTTCTATCACCCTCAGATTGTCCCGTTTCTTTGAAACTGTTCCTGCCCACACCACTGTTTTCCCCTCTGATGCAGTGAGGGAAGTGGCTCAGCATGCTCCCCCCACCGTGTCTATTTTGTTCCTCACCTGTCTGATTTATTTTAGCTCTGCAGCCATAGGCTCTGCATGTGGAGACTAGATTTTAGTATTGGGGGTTTGCATTTACATTTTTTAAGCATTGTAAGTAGAATTAGCTTTATGGTGAGAAGAAGAAAGTGAAATGATCATCAATTTTTCAATAAAGAGACAGCTACTATTAATACATTTACAATCCTTTCAACATACATGTTCATGAGTACACCCATATTTATACCCACACCATATTATTATTAAAAATGTCATTATACATGCATTTTTATAAAGATACTTTAACCTTATATAAAGGTTAATTTGCTGTTCACTAAATTTGTCTTCATTATTTTAATCGTTTCAAACTTTTAAAAGCTGGTGCTATAGATGATTTGTTGAATGTAAATATGTATAGAACCCATTATTTCTAGAAAATTTTGAATATGTATTTGTTCAAATTAAACCATGATATTAATCTTTAAAATGTTCTGGATGGGGAAAGGAGCAGTATGATAACACACACTTTTAATCTCAGCACATGGGAGACGGAGGCAGGCAGATCTCCATGAGTTCAAGGCCAGCCTATCAACATAGCAATTCTGGACCTGCCGAGGTGACATAGAGAGTCCCAAATATACTTTCTCCTTTTTGATGGTCTGAAATGCTACACGGTCCCCCTTTCCCTACTGAGTTATGAATTCTGGTCTAAACCCTTACACAATTTTAATATAACATAGTATATTTTCTTTTGGGAAGTCTTATAGAACATCTATTGTTATACCATTCATGGGCATAAATTGAAACATTTAAAATTTCCCAGGAACACGAGGAAGTTTTTTTTTTAATTTATTTATTTATTAAAGATTTCTGTCTCTTCCCCGCCACCGCCTCCCATTTCCCTCCCCCTCCCCCAATTAAGTCCCCCCCCTCCTCAGCCCAAAAAGCAATCAGGGTTCCCTGTCCTGTGGGAAGTCCAAAGAACCCCCACCTCCATCCAGGTCTAGTAAGTTGAGCATCCAAACTGCCTAGGCTCACGAGGAAGTTTTAAAATGTCTATTATATATATTGAAAGGTAATTTATTATATGCAAATAAAAAGATTTTTCTCCAATTACATAATGGGTCAGTGAGTATTACTGGTTGCAGACATTAAATAGGGCAGCTTAATTTCTCTTATTTTCCATTTTCATAAATATCAGCATTGAAAACCATTTTCATATAAATCAAAATAATTGGGGTAAGAACAGTTTTATTACAGCAATATTGACTGGTTCTTTTGACTTTTAATTTATTTGTTTAAAATATGTATCAATTGGGGGCTGGAGAGATGGCTCAGTGGTTAAGAGCACTGCCTGCTCTTCCAAAGGTCCTGAGTTCAATTCCCAGCAACCACATGGTGGCTCACAACCATCTGTAATGAGGTCTGATGCCCTCTTCTGGCCTGAAGACATACACACAGACAGAATATAGTATACATAATAAATAAATAAATATTTAAAAAAATATGTATCAATTGCCAGTTATTTTTAACTCGTCTATTAGGTGATAAGCAATTAGTTCATTTGCCATTCAGTTGGTTCTGTTGACGGCAAAGATCACAGTACTAGCAAAATATCACAAGAAGTCAGGTATAGAGGTTACATATTATGTAATATATTATTTCATAAGGATTTGCACCTCCAAAGGGTGTGCTTACCATAGAAAATAACTGTTGATCATGAGTTTTCCACAGGGGTAGCAAAATTGCCTCAGTTTCCCCATTTGGTTTACGTCTCTCCAGAATAAACTTTGTTCATTTTTATTGTGCTCAAAAGCATTTACTCATAATATATTTCAAATATGCATATAGAAGTGTTATATTCTACTACTTACTTATGATGTCTATAATACGTCACTTCTGAAAAAGTATTGATAAATTCTAATTTTATGGCTTTTTACATAAGTATGTATAGACTCTGATGAGTGTTTATTCCTCTTTTTTAGATGTTTATTGATTTAACCATTTAAAAAGTTTAATCTTTATAATCATCTAATTATTTTAATTTAGGAATTGCTTCTGATCAATATCACAATTTTTTTAAGGTGTGTCTCAATGAACAAAGAAATTAATGTTTTCAGTTAAGCAATTATTTTTTTTCTGAGGTACATCTCCTTAATTCTCACTTCACTAGATAAACAATTTTCTACTTTGTAAAGCTTTTTCAAATTTTAATTTTTCCTTAAACACTTTATTCTCATAATATTGCATCTGAAATAAAAACAGGAAGAGCCCTGAGATCTGGCTTGGTAGACCTATCATGCCATCTCCTATCACAGCAAAACAAGGCAGCCAAAGCAGCCAAACCGAGGTGCCATTTCCTGTGTTCTAACCTTGTGACTTCCTACCTTTTCTTGCTGAGCAATCTACTTACAGAGAAAACAGCCACAGCACACTTGCTCATTTCACTGTGTTCCAGGCGGATGCTGATTTCATCACCAGAATCATCACATTTATTCTCCACATTAGCCTTGTAAAGTATGAGTTAGTGTTTCCCATAACAGGCTAACAGCGATGTTATTAGGTTTAAGTTGGGTGTTTGGTTTTCACAACAGTGTTTCCCTTAATCACATCAGTGAAAGAGAAATGGTGCTCCTGGTCCCCATCAGTGAGTCTTCAGAAGAGCACGTCTGAAGTCTCAGGTCTACGCTTCTGCAGATGAGAATATGTATGCATTTTGCTTTTATGGATGACCAAATGCAAACTATTGTCATTCTTCCCTCCAAATTCAATCCCATTTGGTACCAAATATCTTTTAAAATTCATTCAGCATCACTATAGTCTCCTTTGAAAACATTTGTGTTTTTAGTGTTAACAAGTGGCTATGATTTGCTAATATTCGATTCTTTCCCTTTTCCTCTTAAAGATAGTGTTTTTAGAAGAATCATCTCAGCAGGAAAAGCTGGCCAAAGAATGGTGCTTCAAACCGTGTGAGATCAGAGAGCTGAGCCACCAGTAAGTCTCTGCCAACATCTTGCCTTTTGCTGGGAGCCAGTACCAATGTTCCAGTTGTCAGAAAATACAATGAGAGAGGGAGGCTTTCTGATTAAGCAGTTGGCCACCATTGGGGAAGATGGGTGAGAGGAAAGCAATCTGAAAGACAGAAACTTTGAGGACCAGAGGCTGTGTCGTTACTTTACCAAACATCTGTTGGGCATCTTGTGTACAGTATTAAAGTCTTGGCAAGTTGTTAGCCCCAAATAAGCATGGGGGGAGAGGGATGAAGCAAGGAAACCATCAAGGAACAGAGTCTAAGGAACAACCACTCTGATGGCTTGCTTAGCGAAGATCTGTGTCCAGAGTGCATTTGAGTTGACATTTTTGTGGTCTTTAATATCTATATAAAATGTGTTTCGTGTGGTGGGCTTACTGTCTCAATAGCCTGGCTGATTTCTTTTATATAAGTGAGAGCACTTCTCTTAAGCTCAAATATTTTTATCTAATTTCAAAAGGCTATTTTTTCAAATCCAATATAAGTGGAACTGCCATTTTCATTCTAAAAATACATTTAAAGCTTGGAAGGTGACTTTAGGAAGATGCAGTGAGAAGCTCCTTTAACTAGTGATGATATAAAATAGATTGGGTGACATGTTCTGACTGGGTGGCTTCTTCCAGCAATTTATTTATAACATGAGTGGAAGAGTGGGAAGTGCCAGCATAGGCCTGTAATCCCCGCACTTGGAGGCGGAGGCAAGTTCAAGGCTAGTCTGGGTTATATATTGAGACCACACCTCAAAAAGAAAATGAGAAGTGGGGGTGGGACATGAAACTGTGGGTGTTGATTAGTGTTAGAACACATGCTTATTATATATGAAGTCCTTGGCTTTAATTCCCAGCAATGCAAAAATAAAGTTAAATAAAAATAAAGAAATATAAAAGATGGGTGGGTATTCTGATTACTGCATATAGGGTTGTATATTGTTCTTTTTCTTGATTTTTAAAAGGGTATGTCACTATTTCAGATTTAAAATGTGAAGCTGATGTTCTAAGGGAATTATGCTGATGAATATGAGATGGGGATGGGAAAAGTTGAAAAATGATGGAGGGGAGCTTCTTCATCTCCTTCTGGTACAAGCAGTGGACCACCTCTTGGCCTGTCTAATGTTGGCTCCTGATGTCTACCATCCAGCTCCAAGTCATTTTATGAATGGTGAACTGACTTCTAACCTTGGCCTCACTGACAAGTTGCAAGTCTGTAATTATCCCTGAGCTGCGTCTTGCTCTCTGTAAAATGAGGTGGTGCATTTAAGGACATTGATTCCACCTGCTTCTCTCACATCCCACACTCTGCATCTTTATCTCGCAAGCCCCAGACTCACCCTTGAGTATGTGGACTTGGCTAATGTCATGTGCCAGTGCTTCCTGTGTTGGGGCAAAGCTACACAGGATGCAGTGAGTCCTTCGATAGCCTGTCTTCTGCTCTTGAAAATGGCACCCTCAAACACCGCCTTTGCCTTTGCCTCTTGCTCCTGCTAGCACACAGGGGTTTCCCTTGAATTAAAAAAAAGTGAAGTCCCCTGACTTTCACTGGCAAAGATGCCCAGTTCTCTCTCCATCATCCATATCTGGAGTGCAGCACTCCTCAGCACCTTGGACAGAACTAAAGCAGCCTGAGACTGGGAGTGAATCCCTTTGATGTTGAATGCCATGGGCTCACCGCAGTAGAGGACCCATAGTCTCTCTGAGGCTTCACACATCTTGCCTTCAGATTTTTGTTACTGGTCACTTCCCTGCCTCCTTTTTTACTCTCTCTGATATCTCTGTATCCTGGGTCTCCTCTATTTTCTTGACAACAGTTCTGCCAATGTCAATCATCACCACCCTCTCTTCCTCTCTCATTCTTAAGTGAATACTGGTGCTCAAGAGTTAGCCTCATTTCTACAGAAAATTTCTGGCATTAGGCAGCTTGTAGAAAAGTTTCTCAACCCCGAATCCTGTCTTTAATTCTTGTGACTGCTTACCCCACATCTTCAGTAACTTCCTGGACACCTAGAGGCCACAAGCTAGAGTCTAGCTAGGGTTTTGAGTGTGTCCATATGCTAGAAGTTGGACCCAGTGCAAAGATGTTGAGAAGTAGTGAGTTTTGAGAGGAGGGACCTGGTTAGAGATGATTGTTGGTGATCTTGCAAAGTGAGGGAGTCCTCGAGAGAATGTATTCTATTAAGGTGAGTCTACCTCGTACAGTTGGTTTATTCTGTATGCAGCTGGTTATGTGTATAGTTCTCTGTGTGTTGTCATGCAAGAAAGTATGTCTTGCCTAAGTAATGCATATACATTTTCAGAAGTTTGAGCTATATAAGCCTCTTTTAAAAAGCAAAGTATCCACCCTTAGGTAGTTGGTTACAGAAATAGGAAACAGTCTACTGCATCATACTGTGACATTTGGCTTAAACTTACATCACGAGACCCTACACACCTGACTCTTCAACCAGGTTCTCTGACATTTTTGCGTTCGCCCTCATATGCTCAACCTGTCTCTCTGACTCATCTCATTTCCCTCTAGGGAGTGATAAAATATGAAATTCTTCCTCTCATGTTTGGTCACTTGCTTTTCTGTTCCCATTACCATGACCTTTATTTAGTCGTGTTTTTTTCCCTTTGTGTGTGTTTTTATAGAAATGTGCATGTGTATATGCATGCACACATGTAGAAGCCAGAGTTTGTCATTCTCCACTATTGCTCAGGGAGGGCCCCTTTATTGAAATCCAGAGCTTATCAGTTCAGTTGGTATACTCAGCATATTCTGGGGGTCCCTTATCACTGCCTCCCCTGTGCTGGGATTAAAGGGGAGCTACTATGCTCTCCTGGTATTTATGTGGGTGTTAGAAATTCGAACCCTGGTCCATATGCTTGTCCAGGAAACACTTTATTCACTGGACCTTCTCTCTGGCCCCTCAACATCGTATTTTGGTAGTGATTCATGTTATTGTAAGAGTAGTTGCTTTTGTTTTCCTGTTGAATAGTATTCCATTAGGACTCAGTTCGTTCATCTGTTTTTTTTTTTCCATGACAGTTTTTAATATTGTTTTCAGTTTGGGGCTATGAGCTGAACAAAGCTGCTGCAAACATTCTTGCCCAACCTTTTATAAACTTAAGCTTTATTCTCCTGAGGAGACGCTTAGGGGCGAAATTATTCACCAAGAGCCTCTGTGTGATGAGATCTCTCTGTCTCTGTCTCAGTATCTCTCTGAAACACACATGCCCCTAATATCTTGAGATATCATAAAGTCTCTGAAGGTGGAATGATGTCTTACTTCTCTGTAGACTCCCCACAAGTCTTCACAGAGTTTCCTAAACACGTTTGGGAAACACCATCTAATGAGCACCAGACTGCTGTGAACTCTAAGATATTTCAGTTTCCGGTGGTAGGGGAAGTAAGAGTCCCAAGGACAGAGGTACCCAGAGGGGACAGTACTGACACATTTCACGTTGTAGATGCCCTTGATGCCTTCCTACATACTCATGAGGTGTCACTGTTCTTTGTCACATAGAGTGTAGCGAACAAGACTACTGAGCCTAGAGGGGAGCTGCCAAGGTCAAGACTTCTCTCCAAAGCTCACAAGTTATTGGTTCGCTTTTCCAAGCTAATGATATTTCCCCAGCTTACATTTGTTGTTATATAAATGAGAACACTGGGGCTGGAGAGATGGCTCAGAGGTTAACAGCCCTGACTGCTTTTCAAGAAGTCCTGAGTTCAATTCCTGGCAACTGCATGGTGGCTCATGCAATGAGATCTGATGCCCTCTTCTGGTGTTCAGGAAAACATGATATATATATATCCAATAAATAAATCTTTAAAAAAATGAGAACACCATTGTCCCACTCCACATGTTGAGCACATCATCTTATCACCACTACTGGCATTTGCTGATGCTTTTGTTTGCTAGGTTCCACTCTTGTATGCAATAACTCAATCCCCACAATTCTATGACCACAACCCTCTCCTCATTTTTCATATAGTGAAGGTGATAAACAGGGAGACTAGGTCACATGACGCACATCCCACTGCTTGTTAATGGTGGAGCCTCACTCAGGCAGTCTGATCTAGCATATGAATATATGTATGTAACTGCTATAGCAAGCAGCCTACCATCACTGACACAGTGCTCAGGGAAAACTGTGTCCAGCACTAGTACATATAAACCCTCAGTAAGCGTTAGCTGCTTGCCTCACAGCCTCATTCCTATTTCTAGCTCTCCTTCTAACACAGAGCATTTTAAAGCTGCTCTTGTGTGCATCTTACATCTGGATATATGGATGCATCACATTTGCTGGCTCAGGGTTTCTTCTTATGGTGTCGAGTTCAAGTTCTATGGGTGATGGTCCAGGTGTTCTAGGTAAGAGCAGTGGAGTAGATATCATCCCTTAATAGATATGTGTTTGGATGAGTTGATGCGTTGAATTCCCAGGGGAACTGAATTAGCTCTTTAGATGAGCTTTATGAGTCTGCTAGCATTTGCTTTCCTTCCTCCTGTGGATAGTGCTTCTGAAAACTTAAAAATATCTATCCAGAACCCGTCGGTATAAAAATAAACAGAAATGTGTCTGGGGGAGGCTCAGCCAATCAGAAGCACGAGTGGTGCATGCCTGCCTTCTCAGCACTCAGGAGGTGGAGGCAGGAGTAGCATGAGTTCAGTGCCAGCCTGGGCTCTACCTCAAAGTCATGTCTCCAAAAGGAAAGGAAAAGAGTTGAAGCAGGAGGAGGGTGACAGCATCACAACCCCTCCGTACTTCACCTTCACACTAACAGTCCATGTCTGCACTCTCCTGGCAAAGACCAGGGATCTCCAAGCAGCCCAGGCATGTTCTTGATGCTTCTGTTGAGAGTTCATCCTTGGGACACATGGAGGACAGGATTTCTTGCAGTCTTCTAAGATGAAGGGGACCACTGAGCCTTGAGTTATTGGTTTCATCTTTATCCCCCTATTGTGACATGTGTCTTTGTCCCTTAGCCCAGTTCTTGACGCTTGAAGACCCTATTCCCACCTCCACTCTCTGTCCAGTTGGAAGAACAGAGTCATAGGATGTGGCCATGGCTTCTCTCCTTTCTTCTGCTATGGTGACTCAGCATCTGTGCACTTCTGTGCTTTCTTCTGCTACAGCAGCTCAGCTTCTGTGCACTTGTGCGTTTTCCTTCCCTCCACCACCTCTGACTAGAGCTGCAACAATTGTAACGTAGGTGCTCTCTCTTCTAGCAGAATTTTATCCTTATTTTCTGGTCTCTTTTTTAAAAAAAAGAAAATTTCGAGTTGTAAATGTACAGGACAAACAAAACCCTTGCCTAAAGATGCTCTCCAGTGATTTCCTTCTTCTCTTTACTTCCCAGCGAGTTCTTCATGCCGGGCCTGGTTGATACACACATCCATGCTCCTCAGTACGCCTTTGCTGGAAGCAATGTAGACCTGCCACTGCTGGAGTGGCTGAACAAGTACACATTTCCTACAGAACAGAGGTTCCAGAGCACTGACCTCGCTGAAGAAGTCTACACCAGAGTTGTTGTGAGTATCCTGTGTGGGGGTGCTGCGTAATGCCTGATCATTCACACGAACATTCATTTCTAGTTATAAACACTTCAGTTATAAAAGTGTTAAGCGAGAGACGGGCTGTGGCAACATTCATTTTTAAGTCCTCTCATAAGCCACTGAGCCTGCCACCCTCGCAGTGGCAAGGAGAGAATGTGAGTGTAATGACCCTAGCTTTCGTCTGGTGGATTCTACTACAGCTCTCTTATTCTTGTCTTCCGGGTGTGCTCTCTCACTGCCGCCAATTCATAGTGCTGTTCTGAGGACCATCTGGAGTATCCATGTGACCTTCAGAAGGTTCCGTGACTCACTGTCCCCATCTGTAAAACTCATATAGCACTAAAACCTCCTTGATGGAGTGTTATGATAATTCATGAGATTGATATTTGGGAGGTCCTTTAAACAGTACCTAGCATATGGTAAGAGCTGCATTTTGTTATTTGTTTAATGCTCAAGGAAAAATTAAATTTCAAACTGCTTTTGGGAGGATATCACATCGTTTTATTAGGTTGGCAAGGACGGAAGCTAGGATGATCTCACATTACAGAAAAGGTGGGGATGGGATATGAGCACTGACGGCGTTAGTGGGAACACTGTAGCCAATTCAGTCCCGATCAGGGACTGCTGTGTGTGCCCCACTGTTATGTTGAGGGCTGGGAAAATGGGCCACGTTCTCCTCTTTTATAAAACCTAGCTCCAGAATAAGAGCACACCCAGAAACTGGAATGCAAATGCTTTTCATCTTGCCCCTGCCTCCTACAGTGAACTCTTCGGACCGTACTCCTGGGTTCTTGCAGGACTGACCAGTGGTTCTTCTGTGGTACTGGCTACATGCCTTCTGCATGAACTGGCCTGGCTCTCCTGCCGGTTCCTTGTCTTGTATCATTCCAGGCTTACAAAGTAGAAACAGGCACGTACATTCATTCAGTTGTCTTGCTTAGTTAAGATTGTGAGGCTGACCTTTTAGCCTGCATCCACATGGCAGTAGAAAACTGAGAAGGGCGAAAAGCTGGTTATGAATTAGCTAGCACACTGTGTTAATGAATTGTGTTAACCACACCAAATCTTTATCTTCACAATGTATTTATACCTCACATTGTTCTAAAACGGGTTTGAAATTGCTTCAAATTGCATAGGATGGAACAAAAGAAAATGAGTCATCAAATCACAGAAAAGGAAAAAGAGGGGAAGGGAAAACTAAAACCCAAAGTCAATGTTCGCTCTTGGGAGAGGCTGTCACAAATTTTGCTCTGTTTCTAGCACGTGATGAAGACATGGAAATCAGAAATGAAATTCACACTATGTGTGTGATTTTGAGAGCCACATTTGTTGAAATCAAAGCAATCTATTCTTTATACTGAAGTTAAAAAATTAATTCTGACATTGCTTAATGTGGATGGACATCATGCTATCAAAATACATTTGTAAAGATTGTTAGGGGTAGGAGAGAGAGAAAAGGAAAATGAGAGAGAGAGAGAGAGAGAGAGAGAGAGGAGAAAGGAAGAGAAAATTTCACCTCAAGAGACCTTGAGAGAGAGAGAGAGAGCTTCAAGGATTATATATCCTTCAAGCAAAGTCTCTATATATTTCTTCATCATAAATATAGGTATTTATTTATTTTTTTTAATTTTTTAATTTATTTATATTAAAGATTTCTGTCTCTTCCCCGCCACCGCCTCCCATTTCCCTCCCCCTCCCCCAATTAAGTCCCCCCCCCAGCCCGAAAAGCAATCAGGGTTCCCTGTCCTGTGGGAAGTTCAAGGAACCCCCACCTCCATCCAGGTCCAGTAAGTTGAGCATCCAAACTGCCTAGGCTCCCACAAAGCCAGTGCGTGCAGTAGGATCAGAAACCCATTGCCGGGGCTGGAGAGATGGCTCAGAGGTTAGGAGCACTGCCTGCTCTTCCAAAGGTCCTGAGTTCAATTCCCAGCAACCACATGGTGGCTCACAACCATCTCTAATGATATCTGGTGCCCTCTTCTGGCCTGCAGGCATACACACAGACAGAATATTGTATACATAATAAATAAATAAATATTTAAAAAAAAAAAAAAAGAAACCCATTGCCATTGTAGCTGGCCTGGGTCTCAAAATATAGGTATTTAAAGTCAGTGAGCCTAGAAACAGTCTATTCCTGACAAATATTTATTTGCCAAATTTGGCCTATGGTTCTGGTTATGAACAGGCCTACACATGTTGACAGAAATGGGAATGGAGCTGACCTCTGCTTGAGAGAGCTGGCATTTCTCCTTCATGCCCCCCCTCTCCCCCATTCCCTCCTCTTCCTTCCTCCTTCCCTCCCTGTGTTCTCCCTGTCTTGTCACTTGACTGGACTTTGCACAGATTTCTGAATCTTCTAAGTGTTTTTAGTTCATTCCAGACAAACGTGAAACTACAGCTTCTCATTTAGCTCAGGCTTTTCCTCATGAGAACCCAGGCTGGAGGACTTGCCTCACACCACATCAGCACTGCTGGGCTGAAAAACTTCACTATAGGATTAACTTTGGAGGGAGCAAACAGGCCCCAGGGTCGCTGTGAGAACATTATCTTCCAGCCATTCATTGTCAGCTTCTTCAAGTTGTTCAGCTTCTTCAGGAACTGTGGGAATGGCATACTTGATGCTCTGGTGAAAGAGACTGAGGACCCTGGAGGTCAGCTGGATCATCACGTGCCTTTCTTCATCTTGTTTGGGCGGGATTTGTGCCCTTTTCACACTTAAGAGTGACTCCCTACACAGAGGTTAGGAATGCTTGGGTGACTTCTACAGGGAGGAGGAAGTGACTGCATGGGTACCAGCCAGAGTCCTGCCAGCACGCCCAGGCATCCACCCTCTTCTCGAGGTCTCCGGGTTCTTCTCTGGTCTCTCTTCTGCAGTCATCTCATCTTGGGTTTTTCTTGGGGGCTAAGCCCTGGTGCTCCCATTTATCATTGTGCGAGTAGAAATTGGCTGAGGATAAAGACGTAATGATCGTTGTTCTGCCAGGTGGAAGCGGAAGTCTGGCTGAATCAATTTACTTTGTCATACAGAGCAAAGTCCCATTTGTATGCTCACAGATAAATAAAACTTAAATATTCTCAAAGAATCCGAAGGACCAAGGAGTTAATTGGCACCCCATTTTGTGACCTCTGAAACACAACTAGGAGATTAAAAATACCAATTTCTCCTTAAGTTCTCACTTTGAGACCATAAATACTTTTGCCATTTACTGAGGTCTCTTCCACATCAAGATGGCATACCTTTCAATAGACACATGTTAAAATTAAAAAGCAGACTTCTGTTTCCATCCGTGTGTGCCATGTGACTCTTCTGAGCACGTGCAATTCGGGACTTTTGTGGTTTATTTTCAGAGGAGAACACTAAAGAACGGTACAACCACAGCCTGCTACTTTGGAACAATTCACACTGACTCATCCCTGATCCTTGCGGAAATTACAGGTGAGCAGCTGAGAGCAGGATTTATGGGCACATCAAGCAAAGACAGCCAGACCATGCCTGGCAATAGTTCATGCTCCGTAGGAAGCCATGCCTTCAGATCTAGAATTTGAGCATTTGCACTTTGTATTTTTTGCAAGTCACTGCATGCCTGGGGATATTCCTTGGCTCTTCTAGTGAGTTGTTATTGTTTAAAGAATTTAATTATTTCTATATGAATTCTGGTCCCAAGGTGATGTTTATAGATCTGAATTTTGTATATCAATTTGGTGTTTTTTTTTTTTAAGAGCACATTTATTGTAGCTGTAGGAAGAGTTTATTACATTATAATTAACAGACAGGTCTTGGTGGTTAGCTAGATCCAGGGCATGGTGCTAGATGCCAGAAGCATTGTCTTAGTTTAGTAACATGTGTAATTCTGTTACTAGATCCCAAACAGCATATAAAATACTCCACTCTAAATAGCCTTCTACATCTACTGGTGCCCTCATAGCACAGGTAGATTAAGTAAAGCTCAAAGGTGTGCACATATCCAAGACCGCAGAGCTGGGAAGCAAAATTGAGCCTGGATCTAGGTGGCTGATTCTACACATACCCAGCACAGTGCCTGGCATTTAGCAGGCACTTGGTAAACACGGTTGACTGATGATGTATTTACCCTGATGTTGGGTTCCAGCATAGTTTATACCAAATGCCTAATGGCTGACGCTGAAAACAAAAACAAAAGTTCTCAGAAGAGGCAAAAACACCCTGTCTGGAATGCTTCCATAGACGTGACCTTTAGCTGCTTGGAAGAGGGAGAGGCGAAAATGAGGAAATGAGATGGACATGGGAGTGGGGGCAGAGATGTTGATGATAGAGACAGGAAATAGCATGGCTTAAAGAAAGGGGGGATTCATTGGCTGGTCAGAAAGGAGTGGAAGGTGGGCAGGTTTCGACCACAGAGAGGCCTTGAACATGCATCAGAGACTCAAGAGGTCTCAAGCCAGATAAGGGATATGATGAGAGCAGCATGTTAAGGAATTAATCTGATGACTAGATGTTAAAATAACTTGCAGAGAGAGTGGCAGGAAGCCTTCTGAAAGACTTCGGACAGTGAGAAGACATTGTAACACAGCCCCACCTTCATAGGGCAACCGAAGTAAGAGTTTCTCCAGCACATGTGATGAGGTCCTTCATTGCCAGCGGCTGCTAGGCCTAGCAGTCAGTCAATGGTAAACAATGCTGTGACAGTCCGGAAGAACCACGGCATGTTCATCTGAGCACCATGAGCCTTGTGCATAGTTCTTTGTGTATTTCTTACAATCCCGCTCAGAGCAGAGGACTCTGGGACCCTGGTGTCTAGATCTCAGATGATAGCTACCATCTTGGGGTAACCACAGGGGTGAGGAATCAAATCTAAGTCGATCACCCAGCATCCATGTCCTTTCATTTTATATGCTGTCCTTTTTCTAGAAAAGAGACCCAACATGCACGGAGAGGATCTTGATCCAGGGATGGCAGGAGAGTAACAGATAGGAGGGAAATGAGTGCAGGAAAAAGATAAAAAATGGTATATTGAGAATATTAATGTATTTTCTAGGATCCGAGGTTATTCCCTCTTGTACCATGTGAGAAGATGAGTGTCAAGATAGTTATGACATTGGTAGAAATAAAGACAAAGTGTATAGTCAAAAGGAAAAGGTAAATAGGAAGTATAAAATACCCAATTGTTTTCCAGCAGGCTGGGAGCTGGGTGGAAGCCATTTGTTCTTTGAAATTAATGGCTTTGTTATTGTCACAGTATGAAGACTGAGTGATGACTCTTAACATTCTTATGTTTTCAGGATAATTTTAATTTAAAAGTGTTTTTAGACTTCTCAGAAAAAGTGTCAAAAAAGAAACATGTCTTCAGATTCTTTCTTTGTGTGCTCCACAGATAAATTTGGACAGCGAGCCTTTGTGGGCAAAGTCTGCATGGACTTGAATGACACTGTTCCAGAATACAAGGAAAGCACCGAGGAGTCGGTCAAGGAGACAGAGAGGTAGTGTGCCTGGGGTTTCCATCTGTATGGATGGCGCTGGACAGAGAGGGGAAAGTAGACACCATAAGGACCCAGTTGAGATTTGAGCACGGTGACAGACTATTCCACTTGCTGCAGTATCTTGTTAGTCCACAGTGCTCAAAAATGTGACGGTGGTCAGTGGTTGGCTCACAGAGCTGTCCTCTGTAGACTGGACTTGACCCTCAGAAAGATCCACAAGGTGTCTTTTTTCATGATAAGAAAACTGAGCCCGGCATAGCCTGATTGACTTGCCCACAGCCATTGGAGCAGCCCACTTACCATCAATCTGATGTAATGCCAGAGATAATCATTTCACAGAGAGAAATGGTTTCTTTGGGGTTATTGTTCTAGAGGCTCCAGCACATGATCGAGTGGTCATGTGATGAGGCAGGAGTGACTATAGGATACACTGTTCACCTCATAAACCAGGAAAAACGGACAATCAGAGAGAGAAAATTGGCCGTAATTCCAAAATGCCTTCTGGGGGCACATGGCCAACGGCCCAGTGATCTTCTAGCAGACTCTGCTTCCTAAGATACCCCACTTCCCAATAGCACTGAGCTGGGGACCAAGCTTTGACACATGGAGCTTTGTGGGACACTCATCTGAACCATTTATTAGTATAGATTAAAGCATCAGAGCCAGGATTTAACAGAGTAAAGAATCTCTACGACTTAAAATGTAGAATTTCTTGTAGCGCAACACGGATCTTAAGTCATGCTTAGTATGGAAAGGAGAGGCAGGAGGTGTATTCAAGAATTTTTTACTCATGCACACGCCCAAGAATAATGGTGCGAGGAGCCAATTACAGAAAACATGTGAGACATTATGGGAAACGTTCCATTTACAGGTGGGTGAAAGACATTTCAGTAAAAATAGTCAGGCTGAGTGGTGCACCCCTGCAATCCAAGTGTGTGGGAGACTGAGAAGAAAGGATCACGAGTTCTAAGCCAGCCTTAGCCATATAGTAAGACACTCTCTAAAAAAAATTACCAAAAATTATGTTCTTCCCTGGCATAAAGCATAAAGAAGCCCAATGAGGTGTGAAGCTGAGACATTATCTTTAGTAAAACCTCCCAAAGACATTGATGTGAGACTTTACTCTGTATCCTTTCAGTTGGTTTTGTAAAAAAAATTTATTGATTCTTTGTGATTTTGCAGCATGCACCCAGATCCCACTCATCTCCCTGTTCCATCCCTCCACCCTCTGTCCTATGACCTTCCCCCCAAAACAAAAGAGAGAGAGAGAGAGAACTTTGGCATGGAAGCTGTAGTGTGGTCCAGTGAGTCACACAGTATACACCTTAGTTCATACATCTTTACTTGTAAGTGTTCTTTCCACTGGATCAATGTGTTATAGCACTATTCTTTTATCCTACTATAGAAAAAGAATAAAATCTGCATGCATTCTGGAATGACCCCAAAATGTGTAAATACAGAACTAGAAAAACTCCTCCCAGCACTGTTACATGAGGAGGTGAAAAGCAGACATAGAACAAGAAAGCTGTATTCCTTTTCAAAAAGGATTTATTTATTTATTATGTATACGATGTTCTGCCTGCATGTATGTCTGCACACCAGGAGAGGGCACCAGATCTCATTATAGATGGCTGTGTGCCACCATGTGGTTGCTGGGAATTGAACTCAGGACCTCTGGAAGAGCAGCCAGAGCTCTATCCTCTGAGCCTCTCTCCAGCCCCGGTTGTATTCCTTATATGCCTTTATTCCACATCTGTGGACTCTTGGACAATAGATCCTTTTTTGTAAAAGGTCTAGACACATTCGACGGTGATACACAGGCAAGAGAGACACTGAATGGTAGAGACCAACGCCTATTATAAAGCCACTGGGTGTAGAGTGAGTTCACCAAGGATGTGAACTGCCTGTTTTGGGCTGATCTATACCTCAAAGGAGTGAGCACATGTGCGCACAGAAGTGTCAAAACACGGTGTGGACAGAGACAACACGACAGGTCCACGTGACCTGTCCTCCAACGTGACTGCTTCTCAAGCTGCCACTCACAGATGCCAAATACAAAACAGGTGCCCTGGACACACCAGTGTTGGCCTCAGGACAGAACTCCAAAAAGTCTGCTTGCAAGGGTGTTCTCAGTGCTATCCTCCAAGTTCAGTCCAGCAGGCCTGTGGGTGATTTACAGGTAGCAATCAGGGCATAGAATGGAAGCCTAGGACTCAAGCCAGGTTAGTTTGTTAGGTTTGGCAGAGATACCCAGGATGAATGGAGTCTCATCTATACACAAGCCACATTGCACCACAGTGGGGAACCCTGAAAACTCACTCCAGCTGAGGTTTTGTTCCACATGGACACTTGGCTCATTGGCTTGCAGGACAGGCCTAGAGAGATGGCTCAGCAGCGCAGGGTTTGGCTTTGGTTCCCAGGGCACACATGGCTGCTCATACATCTGTAACTCCAGTCTCAGGGAAACCAATGCCTTCTGATCTTCACAGGCACCTCATACAGGTGATATACTCATAAATGCAGGTCAATACATACATGGGATAAAACTAGCAAAAGAACCCAAAGGTCTTCTGTTCTGTGAGGAGACAGGATGAGCCCAGGCTCTGTGTCCAGCCCCTCTGATCTCCAGATGTTATATTTGCAGTTCTTCTTCAGCTGTTCTGGGAGTTGCAAGAAAGAAAGAGGCAGAGGGCCGTGTCACCGAGGCTATCAGAGGGGGCTTGTCCCACACCTGACGTAACTACCGAATGTAGGTGCGGGAAGTGTGGTATACAGTACAGTTGATCAACTATGAGAAAAACCAAAGTTCTGACAACATGATGAACTTTAAAATGGCTATGCCAAGGAAAAAAGACCAAACACAAAAGGGAGCACGTTATAAACCTTCGTTTATATTGAATGTATAGAAACTGCAAGTCCACGAGACAGAAAATGGAGAGGTTTGCTCGTGCTGGTGCTGGGGGGCGGGGCACTGCCCAACTCCTGCCTATAGACCCAGGGGATCTCACTCTGGCGATGAGAATTCAAAGACTGTATTATTACGGTAACTCCGCAACCCAGCAAATTGGCTACATTTATTGAATAGAACACTTAAAATGGGTGAACTTTATGATATGTAAATTATACTTCTCCGAAAATGACTTTGAAAAATGGAAATGCGTTCCAGTGCACAGTCTCTTTAAGAGTCTACTAGGAAAGGTTAGATTTTTAAGTGCATAGTTTTGAAGGGTTGCTTTTAGATTCACCAGAAAGTGATTTTTGACAAAGACTTTAATAGAACAGAGTGACACGTACTGCAGATTCCCCAACTGGGCGACTCCTTTGCCTACTACAAAGTCTCTCTCATCTCTCCTAGAACCCATCCTCCCATTTTTGCCCCCACACAGATGAAGCAATTTCTTTTAAAGTTCAAGAACCTTAAACTGTATCAGTAACCTCTAGTTCTTCTTAAGATGTAGAATTAAAGTTAAAAAAACAAATTAAGTCCCTCTTCTAGGATGCCAAGGTCACTAAGTGGATGTAGTCCGTTTTGTAAAATTGGTGTGTTGCTTTAAAAATGTCTATTTGTGCATGTTTGCACATGTCTGTGTTCACAGGGGCATGCACTAGTGCACACATCAGTGGGGGCCAGAAGAGGATGCTGGGTGTCCTGCTCAGCCATGCTCCACCTTACCCCTTTGAAACAGGGTCTCTCACTGAACTGCAAGTTTTCAGCTGGGCTAAAACTCCCAGCGTCCACCTGGCTGTCATGTCACCCTAACACTGGGGTTGGCGGCATGCAGAACTTTTTATTTCTTCCCTCCCTCTTTCCTCTCCTTTTCTCCCTCCCCCCTCTCCCTCCCCCCTCTCCTTTCTTCCTTCTTTATTTCTTTCTATCTTTTTATTCTTCCTTCTTTTTTTTTTTTTTTGCATTGGTCCCTGAGATTCAAATTCAGGTCTTCATGCCTGCATAGTCAGCACCCTACCCACTGCACCTTCTTCTCAGCCCCACACACGAAGGGTTCTTTATTCTCCTGTATTAGGCTAGGGCTTCCCCAGGAGGCCAGACTTGTTAAGTATGGTGCCCTGCTCATTTAATTACTTTTCAAACATTAGTTGCACAAAGTAGTAGCTTTCACTGTGACATTTTTATAAGTGTATACAAACCACTAGGATCATATCTACAACCCCCTCAATAGCTTTTGATTACAGTTATTTCACGAGTTTTCATTATATTCAATTTCATATAACATTGGGGGAACTTATTAATCATTTAAGTACTTTTTTACATGATATTTGATGGTTTTTCCATGGTATCTTGAATGTTTAACAAGGAATTTCACCATATTTGTATTTCACATCAAGAGATACACAGAAGAAATTTCTTCAGATTTACTCTTTTGGGGCATAAGTTTAGATCTCAGCTTTGCTTCTATTTTCTGGGATTCTCTCACTTCAGGTATGTTTCGTCTGGAGTGCTGAGGTGAGAGGCTGCTGCATGGTCACGGGAAGGGGGGCACACCTCTACCTTCAGCACTGGCCATACGATCAGCTCCTGCACAAACCACTGTTGTGGTCACCTAACCTTAATTCACAATTAATTTCTCTGGGGCTGAATATGGATCCCAGAGCTTTGTTCATGCCTGGCAAGTGTCTATCACAGAGCTACATCCCCAGGCTCTCAGTTCACACTTTGGTCTCACATAGTACCAGAAGGAAGAAAACTAATGACTGGCTAGGACAGAAAGAACCATTTCACTGGACAGTTATCACTGTTCAAGTAGGCAGAAGTGCTAGGTTCATTACTTGTTCTATTCCACATACACTTCATAGCTACCTGTCATCAACTTCCAACTTCCTCCAATATCTACCTCCTGCCAGACTCTGTCCTCAGAGACTGATGGTGATACTTGGGGCGTAAGTAGCTTCCACATAAGAGGAGATTAGAGGAACCGTCTCTAAGGCTCCTGAGTGCTCGTGTGTGCCCAAGAGTCCATGGCCCCATCATCCACAGAACACGGTGCCCTGCAACTCTGTCACACAGAATTGGAGCCACTAACACAGCCTGGGGGCTGTGTGGATGCTCAGAATAGCCCACAAGATGCCAGAGGACAATATTCCCTGTGATTTTCCTCTCCCTCTTTTGCTTGCAAGGGAAAAGCTGGGTAATTATTGCTTGTTAATCCCTAATGAAACCTGCGGTGTCAGAAATGTTTGCATGAAAATCAGGACATGTAAGGACCCTGTTCTCACCCCTTTGAAACATTGATTTGAAGGTAGTGAACTTTTCTAACTTTGCCCTTGTCCCTTGATTTCAGATTTGTGTCAGAGATGCTTCAGAAGAACGTAAGTGCATTGTTCAGTTTTCACCTGGAGTGCTGCTTTGTTAGCTGTAGCCTATGTGGCAGATGCGTAGATAGATTACTCTGTGTACCTGTGACTTAGTCTTTACATAAGAGGCATTTTCCCAGAACCTTCACTTGTTGACACAGTGGACCCAATAGCTCAGCTCAGAGAGGTCAGATTTTTTTTTTTTTAAATTGAAAACATCTGGCAAAGACCGAGTCCCGGGAGTGGAGTGGGATGGTTTGTTGCACGTGTCCAGTGCCGGATGATGATCTCAGTGAGATCCACTCACATGTGCACTGGCAGGGCTGCGTGGAAGTCTTAGGGATCTTTTCATTTTATAACTGAGAACCTGTGCCTGTTGATCAGTACCGCTTCACATGATCCAGAAATCGCCTTTCTGGGTGTCTATCAAAGGCAGCGAAATGGGATGTCTTCGGGAGATGGATGCATCCTATGTTTACCACAGCTGTGTTTACCATAGCCTCAAATATGGAAACAACCTAGGAGTCTATGGATGAATAGATAAAGAAAACTCATTTCATTCAGTTTTCCATTATACGTTTACACAAGAAAACTATACGTACATTTTGTATATACATATATTCATACAAGTGGGATATGTACACAATCTAAATATGTCTCCCATATCCCATGAGTACGTATGTACACACACATGCATGTATAATGGGATACTATTCATTTGTAAGAACCATCTTGCTATTTGAGACAGCACAGATGAATCTGGAGTATATTATGTAAAATTAAATAAACTCAGTTCAAAAAGAGGAATACTGCGTGCTCTCATTTGAATGTGCAAACTGAAAAGGTTAAATTCATGGGAACTTCTGGTTTTTGCTTTCCAGGAAAGGCTTGTGGGACACTATCTTTAGACCTCTCTGGGTGTTTGTAAGCACAGTTTTGTAGTCAGAAACAATGATCTGCTTTTAGTGGATTTGATTATTCGCTATTAAACCGTGCTGCAGACTCTATGTTTACTGAGCTTGTTTACAGCCCCAGGGATGTTGTGTGCACCTCTCTTTGGTTCTTGTGCCCTTTGTCTATGTGCAGCATGGAACCCAAGTTTAGTCAGGTATGCGAATTCCATCCCGAGTTCACTAAGCTTTTAGTTAGTGCAAAGTGTATTGGCCAGCTGTCTTTCACAGTAACAAAATACTCGAAGTAAGTAGCTTATAAGAAACAAACGTCTGCTTTGACCCATTGTTTTGGACAGTTTTAGTCTATGATCGCTTGGCCTGGTAGCTTTTAGGCCTATAGTTAGGCAGAACACGATGGCAGAAATTTCAGTCAGATGGTAACTGCCTACCTCATGGCTACCAGGAAGCCACAGTTAACTTCCTTCTAGTTGATTCTACCTTCCAAAGGTTCTGCCACCTCCCCATAGCACTATTAGCCAAGAACCTTCACCCAACATGAGTTTGGGGGGACCTCCTCAATATACAGGCAGGGAAATGTCACCCCCTCACATGTGGTGCCTCCACCCCAGGTCTCATCTGAGGTAACAAGAAGGGCACGCTTCTCGTTAGTGATAGCACTTTCTTCTGTGAACTTAATGCTGTAGAAAGTGCTGTTCTCACTCATGAATTGTTTTTTGGAACCTAGAACCTCTGTCTACCTGAAATTGGGGCTTTCCCTCACTATTGAAACTGCAAAAAATCGTTGTTGTTGTGGAATGTGTGATATATTCATGACCTCCATATTTTCCTCATGAATTTCTCTTATTATGTCCAGTACTCAAGGGTGAAACCCATAGTGACCCCGCGCTTTTCCCTTTCCTGCACTGAGAACCTGATGAGTAAACTTGGCAACATTGCCAAGACCCATGATCTGCACATCCAGGTAGGCATTTTTCTTTGGTTTTTGCCTCTGTCTATACCTGCTGTAAATCCCAGTCTTCAGCCTCCATCTTTGGAGGCCCCTCCCCTGTGCCCCTTGCCCCTTGACCCCTCCCCAGGAGGGTTAAAGTGACCCACCAAACTTTGACCCTTCCCCAGAAAAAGTCAAGACCACTCCCCCACGCTACTTAAAATGCTCCCCCCAAAATAAACACATGTTGTTCCCCCCCCCCACAAACACACGTTGGCGGCTTTCCAGTTCCCCTTGGGGACACCCGAGAGTGCAGGAGTCCAATTAAACCTGGATATCTTTTAATTTGGTTTGTTTTGATTTGGCTTGATTGGGAATTTTGCGTCAGCAGAGAGCTCGTGTTAGAAAATATTCTTAACACCTGCAAGATCTCTCAGTGCCTTCAAGCCATCTCTAATAACCTGTAGTTCGCCTATTGAAATCTCCTAGAGTCAAAGAATTTTAGGGCAGGAAGCGCCCTGACTGATGTCTCCAGAAAGGAAGCTCCCTGTCTGGTGTCACCAGGAGGCACCCTGACTAATGGCACCTAATCCAGTTGGTCAGTTGTTTGGGTCAGGAGCCTGAAGTTGTTCTCATCCTCCATATTCTCTGATCTGTCTTAGACAGGCCAAGACAGCTTTATAAAGGATAGCAAGGTCAATGTCAGACTACCCATTTTTGGTACGATGCTCTTAACACATTTCCTTTCTACTTTTATATGATGCTTTCCTGGTGTTCTAGACCTTCATTTCTAGAGGAACCAATTATTATTTGAAAAGGAAAAAGAACTTAATTTCTACCTTACGAAAGTGCATTTAAAATCCTTTTGTTCTGAGCATCTTAATTTAAAGTTAGGAACAAAAAGTATACCGTCCTTTATCATTAAGTTGTTGCAATTTAGCAATAAAATACTTTTAAAATCTCACAGCTGGGCTAAAATTAGGAGCGCCCTTCCCCCACTCAAGCTTAATTACACACTGAATTAAAATTTCCCCTTTTAGAGCTGACAGTATTAGAGGGAACAGAAAGTTGGGGTGAGGCAACATATTGATGATCCCTTGCTTTTATTTATTTATTTTTAAAATGTATGTTCATAGGACCCATTTGTATGTCTTCCCCATGATTATTGTTTGTGGCTTCTGATATTTGGACTTTGGATTCAGTCCCCCACAGTTATGTTATGGTGATACAATTCCAAATTTAGATAATGTTTCCACTTTGGGAACAGCATGGTTTATTCTAAGAATGAATGAAAAAGAAAGAAAGAAAGAAAGAAAGAAAGGAGGGAAGGAAGAGAAAAGAAAAGAAGAAAGGAAGATGCAAATGATATTAAAAGCTACATAAATATAAAATGAAAATGACATATTGAAAGTCTGTCCTTTGGCTGGAGGTGCAAGGTCATTGGCAGAGCACTTGCCTAGCATGCAAACCCTGAAATCCTGAGGTCGATCCCCAGCATAACCTGTGCATGGGACACAACACTCAGGAGGTGGAGGTGGAGGTGGAGGTGGAAGAATCAGAAGTGCAAGGTTGTCCTTGGCTAGAAATCTAGCTCACAGACATTTTAGGAAACAGGAGATGAGCTCTGATTAGAGGGATGGATGATATGCATTTATTTGTATTATTCAATCAAAGCACCTGGTTGTTCTTCCTCTTGTGCTACACCCATGCATTTCATGGAAGGACTGGGATTTAGTCCTGACTGTGGGTACAGTTTGACGTAGGTGCAGCACTGGTTGGAGTTGTTGCTCACTTTTTTTTTTTATCTTGCCATGTCTCTTCTTAGCACAGAAAAGAGGCTTGGCAGAGTTGTTTTGCAAGAGTTCGTTGGCTCGAGAATTGTTCCCATCTACTTCCATCACCCTGGGTCTGAAATATTTTTTTTTTCTAGAGACTTAGGTAGCTTCCAGTGCAAGACGCTTTGTGTCCCCTCAGATTTCAGGTGCCCCCATGAAAGGTTGGTGTGGCTGCCTCAGACTCACTTGGTTGTGTGTGATCTCCCATGAGCTCCTTCCTGGTGAAAGTGGGATTCTTCAGCAGTCACTTGCATATTATTTAATGCGAAAATATGATTTAGAAGGCCAAGAAAAGAGGCAGACTGAGGCCAGGCCCTGAGCCTAGTCTTCCTCCTGCCTCCAATACATGGAGTTCTGTTAAATTTCACACCTGAAGTATGACTTACACATCTGCATGAGAGAAAATTACTTAACTAGCCCAACGCTTTAATTGCGTGACGAGAGGTGGGAGCTCAAAGAAGAGAACTGACTTGCTCCAGGGCATATAACTAGGCTCAGAATTCAGCTCTCTTTGTTCAGATTTTAGTCTCTTTCTGAGTGACCCATGGATTCATCTTCAGATGGTCACTGAATTCTGATAGGCAGGTTGCTGCAAGCAAGCACTGGGTGCTCTTTGAAAGTACTTACATTTGTTCTTGCAATAGATTAGAGTTTCAAGACTTGAGGGAAAGATCTCTCTCTCTCTCTCTCTCTCTCTCTCTCTCTCTCTCACACACACACACACACACACACACACACACACGCACACACACACACAGAGAGAGAGAGAGAGAGCCATACTCAGGATATTTAGTTTTTTTATCATGTATATTGGTATAGAGGATGCATATAATCATTTAAAATTAAACCCAAGTACAGAGCTTAATGTTTTCATCCATAGTCTCCTATATCAGCAAGTTCAGCAAGCAGAAACTAGCAATGGCATGTTGAGATAGAAGATATAATGTTAAATATTTTACAAAAAGTGAAAACAATATTTGTTTGCAGAGCCATATCAGTGAAACACGTGAAGAAGTTGAAGTTGTGAAAAACTTATACCCTGGCTACAAAAACTACACAGATGTCTATGATAAAAATAATCTCCTGACAAACAAGGTAAATTCAGTATCATGATATAATGTATAAAAGTCAATGACACCCTTTAAATTTCAGAATCTCAGAAGTAGTCACTGTTCTTCAGTACACATGCATCTTCTAAACTAGAGTAAACGCAGTGTGTGTGTATGTGTATGTGTGTGTGTGTTTTGGGTGTTCGCATGTATGTGTGTAGGTGTATGTGTGTGTCTATATGTTCATGTTCGTGTTTGTGTGTACACATGTGTTTGTGTGTGCATAGATATATGTATGTGACTATATATGTGTTTGTGTCTACATATGTATATGTTTGTATGTACACATGTGTGCAGATACATGTGTGTACATGGTATGTGTGTATCTATCATCTATATGTGTATGTCTATATATGTGTGTGTTTGTGTGTGTGTGTGTTTGTGTGTGTGTGTGTGTTAATACATGTGGGCCTGATGTTTCATACCTATCCTTAAATCTAAAATTTCATTGGATGGTAAGAATGGCCTTCTTTCCAATGATGCTTTCGCAGTTAGTACATCAGTGGGCTTTTCTTTGAGTCAGCACACCCATTTCCAAGGACAATTCTTTAAAGGCTGTAAAAATGGGTGTGCTGATAACATAAGAAAATTTGGAGATAACTATCCCCAAGGAATTGGTTAAGTCATAGAATCTACATAATGAGAATTCCATTCAGTGTGCACAAAGATCAAATATGCATGCTTCCACAGAAGAACATTCAATACAGTAGGACATACAAGTACCTGCGTGTACATGTGAGTTTTCACACTTAAAACCTGCCCAGAGATACACAGGGAATGTGAAAAGCAACTTTTTAAACTCTGAGGTTTAGAAATTGACTATCTATTACCTCTATAATTAATTAAAATTAATGTGAGTGGCAAGAGACTTCATTAAAGCAATATACCCTTTGGCCTTGGCCTTCTGTGAAATGAACACGCTACCTTGAGAGTTTACTGCAACAAGTTGTTTCTTAGTGACTACATGAAAGGAGATAGGAGTGTAAGTGATTGGAAAGGTTAATACTTTGCATAAATAATGTAAATTTTACATCGGAAGTTTGATCCTTCTTTGCATATATTACCATATGATTAATAAATTAACCTTAAATTTTCATGTTAATCTTATTTGTGCAAAGGTAGAGCAAGCTTTATTTGAATAATAATTTTTGCCTGTTGAACTATGCCTCCCAAAGGAGAAAGCAATTGAGTATAGATTTTACATTAAAGTAAAAAAAAAAATTAGAGAATTAAATGTTGCTTGGAAACCCACAAATCTTACCAGGATGAGAATTTAGAGAGGTTTCAAATGTGTGGCACCTACTTTCTTAAATAAAGTTTACCTTCTTAACTAAAGGCTGTTATGATATGACGTATCCTGATTTCATGTCAATGTCAAGAGCCATGGGTAACTGTATTAAAACTAGTAACAGAAATAAAGAAGAATTCTTTCAGATTATGCCAAAACTCCCAACAGCATTCCAGAGGCTGGGGCAGGAAAAATTATGATTGTGAGGTCAGCTTGGGCTCTATAGTTCAAGGCCAGCCTTAGCTATATAGAGATCCCATCTCCAAAACAAACCATCTACAACAATTAACCCATAGTTCTTTACAAAATCACATTTACAGCTTCCATGGACTTTTTGAAAGTCCTGATTGGAATACAGACAAGCACCAGCCTTCTGGAGGTACATCATACAGATTTAGAAAAGAAAGCAACTTGAAAATTTTCTATAGCAGAGATAATAAAAATTGTAATGTGTTCACTTTGTCTGGATTTCTTATGCCATGGATGAGCCGACTGAGCCAAAAGAATCAAAATCAAGAGCCAAGACAAGGATGGAGTTCAGTGGTACAGTACTGGATTCGGTTACCAGCACTACAATAAACAAACAAACAAATCGTTAAAATGTACAAATTTGTTGAGACCTTTGTAATATGTATTTGATGCAGGGATTTTTGTCCTTTCAAATAATAGCAACAGTCTTTGCAAAGACCACTGTGGCCAAGCCGTTGCTTCTGTACCTTTTTATAGTACATAGCCATGAGTATTAGTACAAGCATTTTTAGTGGTAAATTCCATGCTGGCTATTCTTCTCTCTAGACAGTCATGGCACATGGTTGTTACCTTTCTGAAGAGGAACTCAACATCTTCAAGGAACGAGGAGCGTCCATTGCACATTGTCCCAACTCAAACTTATCGTAAGTACACAATTGCTTGGTAGATTATTGATAGGTAGTGTAGATGGGCATTTTCTGTTTTCTCGGTTTCTTCTTCTAGGGTCTGTTTCTATACTGAGTTTGAGTAGAGAAGGAACCAGGTAGACGGAGGCTCACCTGTGCTAAGGTGAAGAAAGAAGGCATTTGAAAGAGGGCATTGCTGCAGAGTTCTCTGAAAATCTCTAACTTGCACACACATGCAGCAAGAGGAAGTAGAACAGAGTTTAAAATCAATAACATTCAGGTTTTACAGCTGAGAACAGACTGAAAGAATTCATATTCCAGGGGCATAGTTTGCCCCAGAGTTTAGAAGGGAGTTGTGGCTCTAAAGCTCTTGGTCACGCTGCTGAATGTGTTGAGACACAGCTCATATAGGAAAACCCAGGAGAGACTTACTCTTATTTAATTCCCAGAATACGAAAGCTTTATTTGAAACATGTCCTTAATCTTTCTTTATTTGTTAGTTTTCTTTGTTTAGTTTTCAAGACAGGGTTTCTCTGTGTAACCACTCTGGTTTGTCCTAGAACTCACTTTTGTAGAAAAGGCTGACCTTGAACTCACAGAGATAAGCCTGTAAAGGTGTGTGTCACCATCCAGTGTCCTTAACCTTCCCAAAGGTTATGAATTCATGAATGAATCACTTGAAAGTTATGGCTTATATCTCCAGCAAAAGCAAAAGGTCCATAGATAGAAAAATGTCATGTCTAAGTTGAGGGAACTTGTGGATAATGTGATCTAGTCTGTAGATGCTGGGTTAGAAACTTAAAAGTTGTGCAAATAGTGTATTTGGGTGAGAGCTGATCTCAGAAAGTACTCCTTGGGAGTCTGACACACAGGGCAGAAGTGAATAACATCAAACCAGTTACCACAGTGGGACCTGGAGTTTAATTCTTCTAGACTCTGCCAGTTATTCATCTCAAGAAGTGATGGCACAGGGACAGTAACACACACTCAGCAATGGCGGAAGGGCTGGGATGACTATGGAGGAGCATCCCTTTTGACTGTCTCCTGACAGGAACAGAGCAGAAGAGGGTAGAACACCTCAGCAAAGAGCTGGAGGTATTAGCAAGCTCAGGGACTTCGTGAATGGCACAGATGTGTGTTCATGACTATGTAAGAAGGGCTCCTGGACACACAGGACATTTCTCTAGTTGTTTGAAAAGTCTCAGAAGACCCTGAGTTTTGAAACAAAAAATAAATGCACATGACTTTGTGGCCTGAATTGCAGCCTAGCTACAACAATTTAATATTCCCCAGATGAACAGTAAAATACCCTCTAAATTAAAACATGATCTGGCTGTTCAAATAAATGCTGACCTTCAAGAGTTTCAGGTTTTCCTCATGCACATTAGGACTTTAAAATTATAGTTTAGTGCATCCTTGAGCCCAGCCATTTGGTCACTGTGTCTTCGTGGACTTCTAATTCCATGTTATAGCTTTCCTTTGTCTTTCCCTGGATCAAATGGGATGAAGGTGATGAGGTCCAAAATTCAGGTCGGGAGCCCTCTCTCCTAGGTTGGTACCCTTGGAAGCAGCATTTGTACTCTCAGACCCCCATTTCAATGGTTCCATCCTCTTTAGTTGCATCATCTTTGACCCTGAAAGCAGGGAGAAAGAAAAACATGAGGGAAGAATACCTTTCCTTATCAGTCATAATGTCATCACCAACCTTCTAAAATAAGACACATCAATGAGAGAAAAGCCCAGCAAAGTGCTTCCTCGGAGTTCCATGTGCACAGGACCGTTAAATGAAGGCCAATGGGCACAGAGAGCTCTCCCGTATTTTTTGCTTTGATGAGATGGAGCATGGCAAGCATACAGAAATGTAATTGGACAAAGAGGCTTTGATCTAATGCCAAGTCATTAAGTTGGGATACTGGGGAGGGCATCTTCAGATCTTCTTGATCATTGTATCATATTGTTTTTCTTCTGTGAATAGGGCAGGACCTCTTCCAACACAGAATCTTATGACTGTCTATCAAACTACCTTCCTGGCCAACAAAAGACATAAGGATGGAGGATTAGAATAATCTCATCAAGATTTGTGGCTGGCATAGGGAAAAAGGGCAGACATTTTAGTTATTTTATTGCTTTGGGGGCAAACTAGGACCCTATGTATGCTTAGTAAGCACTCTACCACTGAGTTAGACCATAGCCCTGAGAAATTCTGGCTTATATGGTTTGGAGACTTGAGGAGAGGAGATCAGAGAGATGCTCTGATTTCTGAGCCTACTTCTGAGGCCCAAAGCATCATACACTGGGCTATTATTTTTGTACTTTAATAGAAATTGCTTCTCTTTTGGGTAATGCATTGTTCTGGATATAGAGGAATGTGATGGTTTCTAATTTATATTTTCTATCATGAAGGAGGAGTTGGCTAGAAAGCTTACAGCTCTATTAGATTCACAGACTAAGTACCAAGCTTAATTCTTAATTCTAGTTTTCCATGTAGTTTCCTGCCCTCCACCTTCCTTGCTAATTTGGACCCTTGCAAGAGTGACCTCAGGTCAGAAAGAAGGAAGCAGATTTTTATGGTCTTCTCTGCTCCACCACTTTCCTGACCTGATCTGACTGACCATTGGCCTTAGGGCTTAGGATGAGAATCACAGTTTTTAGTACCACAGCCATCTTTGACAGTGCCTGTATGCTGTTCAGTCACTCGGATCTCCTTGTTCTTGCATTTTCCTTCTCTCCAGGCTGAGCAGTGGCTTACTGAACGTGCTTGAAGTCCTGAAGTGTAATGTGAAGATAGGGCTGGGAACAGGTAAGCAGTCATCATCTGTAGCTGAACTGATAAATCATCATTCTGACGAAGCTGATTTGTAGATATTTAAGCTGTGCTTAAGGAACGTGAGCTTTTTTTTTTTGGTTGCTAGGGATGGGTGTCTTAATAAGAAACAACAACCAAAGGGAGAAGTTTGGAATTCATTACCCACACTTCTCAAAGCCATTTTTCCTGGTCATTGTTTCTAAGCTGGGCACTCATGTCTAACAGCTCACAACTGCCTGGTCCAGCTCCAGGGGACCTAACATCTTCTTCTGGCTTGCACAAACACTTGCATTCACATGCACAAACTCTCACATAGACATATAATTTAAAAATAAATTCTTTTTAAAAACATTTTATGGATTCTTTGTGGATTTCACATTATGCATCCCAATCCCACTCATCTCCCTGTCCTCTCACATCCACCCTCTGCCCTACCAACCTTCCCACAGAAATAATCAAAATTTAAAAGAACAACTGAAAACCAACACACACACACACACAGAGACAGACACACAAGATTCTGTAGCGTGTCCCAGTGAGTCACACAGTTTATTTTTTAGTCCATTTATCTTTACTGGTGAGTCTTCATTGCGATGCGTCATCGGTCTGGTTCAAGGCCTCTGGCTTCTGCTGCGCTATCAATACTGGATCCTCACTGGGACTCCTCTGGATATCCTGTTACTGTCCTGTGTCGGTGGAGGTCCTGCAGTTTTGGATCTGCAGGTCCAGCCCCTTCACATGCTCCAACAGGTTCATAGATGAGGTGGATGTTGGGTGGGCTTAATCATAACCCTGCTTCTGGGCCTGGGTGGTAGCTGGGTTGGTTAGTTTGCCAGTTTTCCCTCATCACTAGCACCTGGATGAGCTCTCCCACACTGCCCCGGGTAACTCGCCCAGTGCAGCAGGCAGCAAGAGGTGGAATCAGTTCTCATGTTCTCAAGGCCTCAGATCCGGATCACATGCACTCACACTACCAGAGCCAGCTCTTCTGCCTTGCTACCCTCTTCCCTTGTTCATCATTGTTTCTCAATGATGCCTAGCCATAACTATAAGTTTCTATATTTTTCCTTTTTACAAAAATATTTTGGTAGTGTTTCCCTAAATTGTGTTTCTATCTCAGAAGTCTTTTTTATTGTTTTTTATTGAGCTATGCATTTTTCTGCACTTCCCTCCCTCCTTCCCTCCCTCCCTTTTTCTCCCCTTCTACCCTCTCCCGTGACCCCCATGTTCCCAATTTATTCAAGAGATCTTGTCTTATTCTCCTTCCTATGTAGATTCATGTATATCTCTCTCGGGTCCTCTTCTTCCCAAGGTGCTTTTACCACGGCCCTTATCACAGCAACGGAAACCTAACTAAAACACTCTCTGAGCAACAGTCTTTGGTTTTCTTGGGGACTTAGGTCTAGTGATGGATGCCATGTTTTCTCCGTCCTTCCTGCCTTCCTAATGCAGCCCTCTTGGATGCCAGCAGATACACAAGATCTCTTCCCCATTTTCTGGGTGTTCACTTTGCAAAAACCCAGCCCTAGATGACCTCAATAGTTCCCTTTTCTATGCCTGCAGCTGGGTGTTTAGGAGCTGCTGGAGAGAGCAGCGGCTTACATGTTAAGTTCTGTGCTCAGATTCCAAGTAGCCCTCAACACTGGCAACAGCAATAATTATATTTCTCTAATAAGTATCTGCCTCCTCAATCCCACTTTTCCTCCTAAAACTTTCTATTGCTGCTGAAGTCCTCTTCATTCCCAGCCCATATCCTCTTTTTGTGGATCATTACAAGAGAATAAAAATAAATCAGAAATCTTTGTTTCAGTTTCCACCACCAAGTTTGCATACATTCTTGCTCACGTTTAAGTGCTGTCTACTGGACTATTGCCATCAATACACAAGCATCTAAAATATCTCCTGACCCGTTTAGTTCATACTATGTAACTGTTCTCTTGCTCAGACACCCCCATCAGCTTCCTGTCCCACACGGCTGCCTTTCTTCACAGCAAAACTTCTGTGAGTGTGGGTATCCACACAGTTCGTGCTCTCCACCCCCACCCTGTCCTGATTCTTGCCCAGCCAGCAAGGCAGCCATCTTGTTCTTCTCGCTGTGACTCACTGCAATCATGATCTCTTTGCTGTCTCTCAAAAGATGCCATTCTGTTGTGACTGAATGCCTCTGTGGTCTACTGTGATTGTCACTTCTCCTGGTCCCAATAGCTTACATGGGAATCAGCAAAATTGCATAGAAAAAAAAATTATTCTTCCTATGTTGCTGGCCTTTCTTTCTTCCCTGAAGGCTTGCTTTCTTTTTCCTGCCTATTTGGAAAAGCTGTCCCCAGAGATCAATAAGTCAATCTTTTTTTGTATTTCACTTCCCCTCCCCCACAGGGGATTTTGTCCTCAACTCTGACCTCAGATGCCTCTTAGCTTTTATGTGCATCCCAACTCCTCTAACAAAAAGTTCCCAAGAAAAAATTGACAAAACCTCATGCTTAAGAGCCTCTATTGTTAGATGCTTTAAGAATTATCACATTACCACTACCTGGTGTGGCATAGTACCTTGGTTAAATAGCAAGTTACCCTGTCCATGGACCTTGATATTGTCTCTAAAATGGAGTTGATGATAGCAGATCGGATAGATACCTTACCTGTTTGTGCTGTGGGATAATACTCTTGTACCCTGTAAAGATTTGTCACTCATTTTGGTTAATAAAATGCTGATTGACCAGTAGCCAGGCAGGAAGTATAGGCAGGGTGACCAGACTAGAATTCTGGGAGGAAGAAAGGCTTGGTCTGCAGTCACCACCCAGATGCAGAGGAAGCAAGATGAGAATGCTACATTGAGAAAAGGTACTAAGACACATGGCTAAACATAGATAAGAATTATAGGTTAATTAAGTTGTAAGAGTTAGTTATAATAAACCTGAACTAATAGGCCAAACAGTTTATAATTAATATAAGCCTCTGTCTGATTATTTGAGTCTGGGTGGCCAGGAAATGGAAGCACAACCTCTGATTTCATGTTTGTGTGGAGGATTGGTTAAGTCAATATTGTGTTGTTCTTGTAATGATTCTTGGTATGATAAAACACTGGTTTGTGACAACTGGCTGTTCAGCATTGCTTTTTAATTTTATAATTGATTCACTTCTTTCTAATTAACAAGAAATAGTTACACACAAAAGACTTGTTATTTGTTTGTGCGTGTTCAAGTATTTGTGCTTATGGAGTGTGTGTGTGTGTGTGTGTGTGTGTGTGTGTGTGCATGTGTTCACATGTGTATAGAGAGACCAGAGGTCAACCTCAGGTATTATTCCTTAGGCACTGTGACAGGGTCTTTGGATGGGATATGGGCTTGCCAATTAGACTTCATGAGTATCCATAAAGCCCTGGTGATCTGTGTTGTGTGTCTCTGCCTTCCCAGCATGCTAACACACCCAGCTTTTTACTTAGGTTTTGGGGATCAAACTCAGACCCTAATGTTTGCTTGCATGACAAGCACTTTACTGACTGAGCTGTCTCTCTAGCCCTGATTATTTCCTATTAATGAAGACTAATAATTTAAGTAATAAAATTTGTCAGGGAACCAGATAATCCTACATCAAGACTGTTATTGATAAAGAAAAGCACTCTATTAAAAAAAAACTCCATGCAAGTTTACCTAAGGACATATAAAATGGCTGAACATAAAATTCAGCTGCAATCCAGAATTGCTACTAAATAACCAATTACTTTTGATAATTTCAGTATTTATAGGCAATAATAATCATATAGGCCTACCAGAAATGACAGGAACATTTAAAACTACAATGGATGTTTGATTAACTATAAAATGTATTCTCCAATAAAACATGCTATCTTACTTGACATTGCACCAACTCATTTCATAACATGCATTTGTTCCTGCCAAAAGCAGTGTTTCAATTAATTATGACTAGGGGTTTAATCTGAGTCACTAAAACTCTCATTTCTCATTCAGTGATGCCAACCGGTATGGAAATGCTGCCCATATCAGCTCTGGTTATTTATTGTACTAAGTTTCCAAAAGTTATGCTCATTCTAAAGCTTTCTGAAGAATTATTGTTTTAAAAATTGGCTATTTAATTTTCTAAAGCTTTCATTTAGGTTGAAATAATACTTGGACATTTTCTTTAATATACGCAATTGTGAGTTTATGTTAAATCATATTATAAACCTTTCACAGCCATATTTGAGTAATTTTTTAAGTGTTTAAGAAATATCTATCTATCTATCTATCTATCTATCTATCTATCTATCTATCTTTATTAGCCATGTGGATGTTATAGTGGGTTGAGTTGTAGTCCCCAAAAGAAGTCTACCAGAACTTTTAACTATAACTGTATTAGGACTAAAGGTTTCTGTAGATAGAACTAAGGTAAGGCTGGCAAGATGAACTCTTTCTGAAATGGGATGGCTCCTGAGCTCAATGGTCAACGCTTATAAGAGACAGAGAGGAAAAGCCACAAAGACCCAAGAGAAAAAGATGATGTGAACATGGAACAGACTGGAGTTACTGCCATAAGCCAAGATCTCCAGGAGGTGTGAGGAGCTGGACTGAACAAATCTGGATTCTTCCTGGAGTTTCTAAAGAGCTGGGGCCCTTGCCATCACTGTCAGTGATGCTGAGGTCTGAAGCCCTGGCCTTGTACAGTCTCCCCATACACTCTGCCACTGAGCCACACTCCCCAGCTAGCCCTGCCAACACTTTGACTTCCAAAACTGTGAGAGAAGACAGTTCTCTTGTGTTAAGTCACAAGATTTGTGAGGTTTTGAGCAATCCTAGAAGCTAATTCTGAAACATATTTGATTTTAATGAAAGGTGGTTTTTAAAAATCAGCAAAGCAATGGATTTTGTTAGAGCATGCTGATGTGTGTATTGTCATTTACCTTGTTCTCATTTGTCCCCCTCTCATGCCTACTTGCTTGTCCTATTCCTCCCCCTAAATAGTGACCACTTCTGCTATTATGCAAATGAAAAATTTTGAGTTTATTTAAATGCTGGCTTATATTTATATGTTTACAGATGAGAACTTTTTAGTAATTGAAAAATAGAATGTTTGTCATTAAAACCAGAGGAAGAAAACAACATATATACCTGTTATTCCATCCATCTTCATAGAGTCACGGTTTGGGCTTTGTCTTTCCTACACAGATGTGGCTGGTGGTTACTCCTACTCCATGCTTGATGCCATCAGAAGGGCAGTGATGGTTTCCAATATCCTCTTAATTAATAAGGTGAATGAGAAGAGTCTCACCCTCAAAGAAGTCTTCAGACTAGCCACTCTTGGAGGAAGCCAAGGTAACGACTAGTTTCTTCGTCTTTTACACCATGTACAGCCATGGCAATGTATGTCTTTGGCTATAATGTAAAGATACGCCATAGCGAACTAAGGCAAATCCTATATTAATGACTGATATATGGCATATAGTATACCCAAAGCATAGCCATGCATGAATCAGCCATTCTGTCAATGAATTCACTCTTTGGTAGACAACTGCTTAATGCACTGTTACCATATTGATTATTTTAATTAATAGTTACACTAGCCACATACATATGAGTCAAGATAATTCTCCCTTCTATTGAGTCAAGTGCTTTCTTTTCTTGAGTGATAATGCTATTAATAGAAGTTACTGCCAAGCTAGTTGAATTCTTTCCATGGGGCAGTGTGGTGAACGGTCTGCTCGTGTACTGTCATTCAGTGCTCACAACCACTGTTGTCAATTTCATTTTACAAAGAAGGAACCTGAGTGACACACAGCTGCAAGGTGAAGTGTGCCATGTTTTGAATCCAGAAAACATAAATCTGAGTGTGGGGTCTAACCTCTATTAGACTGTCTTTCCATATAAATCCCTGCCTAGTTCATGCACTGATTACTCAAGTCTCTTTAAATGAAGCAAGATACAGCAGTGTAGTTGATTGATAGACAAATATTGTTCATCATCTTTCCTTGGTTCTCATACGCGACTACAATAGAAATAATTGATTTGTTCTAGAAATATGGTATACTGACAATGGCTTCATGCCACTGGCAGCTCTGGAGCAATTAAAATACACATATACAGATCTGTGTAGATTTATGATAGATACCCAAATCATAAATGGAAGGAATTATCTTCTCTGCATGTTTCAGACTATGATGAACACCAAAAGAACATTTCAAGAAAGAGGAGTCATGGTTACAGCATTTGTGCTTTCCTAGGCCTTCTATTTCATTTCTGGAATCATTGTGTGGCCCCTCCCCCACAGCACCATTATTTCTGTTATATACGTTAGCTCAAAGATCTGCTACCCACCCACTGATGAAAACAGACTGAGCCAAAGTGACAATTTTTTTTTTATCCTAAACAATTTTTTTTGCTTCACTCTATTGCTGTTTCTGATCAGACTGCTGTGGGAACTTGCCCAGTCTTTCTACCTGGGAGTGGAGCTTTTAAATCAACGCTGTTGGACCACTAGTTACCGTTCGGAATTCCGTCTCCTCAGCTTGTGTCTGTAGTGGAACCTAAGTGAAATGGGTTGAAGAAATCCCTGTTTCAAGTGTGGCACTTCCCAGCAGTGCCACACCTCTACCCTACCCCATGTCCGCCATGTTCACACAGCCAGCACTCTAAAGGTGGCAAGTGCATTTCCTGAAGCCATTGGAGATGCTGACCAACCTGGTTAGGTCTCTAGATTGATCTAGATTTGCATCCATTTGAAAGTTCACTGAAAGCCCCCACCTGTTTCTTGGTTAACTCGTTTTTGAATTCTTCACGTTTTGAAGAATAGCCCGTTTAGTTTAGATCTGCCATCAGACCCTCTGAAACCCTCTCAACTGTGCCAGTTTCTCTGGCCCTACTAAGCACACACAATTCCATGCAGAATACAGTCATTAAAAACTCATGGTATGGTGCACCTTTTTCAATGACAAGAAGTAACATGTAACCAGTAAAGGAGAAAAGTACCAGAGTTTCACTTCATACCAGGCTCCCCCAAAAGCCACACAGTTGCTTCAAACAGTTAATATTTCCACACCACTCTCTGTCTATGAGACTTCCTAAGGTTAAATTTTTTTTCTTTTCTGAGAGTGAAAAGGAGTCACTATTTAAGTAATATATAAAGAATGACTATGATTTCTAATTTGGTGTTCTGATAATTGCCAAGTTTTCAGGATGGCTGTGCACAGAAATATCATGTGTCAGCTAGTGTGCTATTCCATAAAAGAAGAGGGAAATCTATCCAATATTTACACGTCATAAAATACCCTGGCAGCAATAGGATGCACCAGGCATGAGTAGATCTTGGAGTAGACAGTACAGCAATGAGCTGTGGCCTCAATGCAATGACCTCAATGCCTGTCTTTCTCAGATTACAGACTTTAAGGAGATGCCAATCAAACAACATCATTGGCAACAAAACCCAATACCTGCACATTCCTTAATATGTTATAAAAATGTGCCATGTTCTCCTTTGGCATCCAGGGACCATGGACATGAGTTACAGCTATAAGACAGCCTGTGCCCTATTTTAGGAAACTATTCTTCTTGGGCAACCAGAAAGCCTTTCCTTTAAAGTTACAAAGTTACTTTCAAAATCACTGGCATGCTTCAGATACAGGATCTCTGGATATTTTTCCCAATTCAAAGGATTTAAACTAAAGAATTCATGATGGATATGCCTGTTTTAGAAATTTCACAAAGATAGTTTTTAATTTGAGGTTCAGTTCACTGCAAAGAAAAGAAATACCACCAACTATTTCACGGACTAAAAAGACAAAGCTAGGAATGTTGGGGAAAGGAGGAAAGGATGAGGTAGATTTGTGCCAAGCTGGTTGCTTTGAGGGTTCAGTAGAGTACGCTGACAGAACTGAAATTGAGACCTCATCAGAATTATGACAGTGGTGGTGAATGGAGCTATGTGCTTTCCTGTTCTCTACTATCTATACAGAGGTCATGTGGCCTGTTGGGATGAGAGTTCTTCTTTGCTTCACTATTCAGATACTACTTTTGGAGGGTCTAGTTTTATGTTTGCAGAAACCATCCTGGCTAACAAGGACATCACAATGATTCAGTGGCAACTCTGACTCCTGTTCACTTCCGTTTGTAGCCCTTGGTCTAGACAATGAGATTGGAAACTTTGAAGTTGGCAAGGAGTTTGATGCCCTCTTGATCAACCCCAAAGCATCAGACTCTCCTATTGATCTGTTTTATGGGGATTTTGTTGGTGATATTTCTGATGTAAGTAAAAGAAAGTAAAGTAAAATGCCTTTTTGTCATTTGTTTTTTTTTTTTTGAGTGGGTGGAGGGATCCGTTTTTAAAACAGTCATTATTAAAGTAACATGTGTTCGTTTAGTTTATTTATAAGAAATGTGTTAATGTTTTAAAAATTCTTTTATTCTTCTATTATTAGAGTAAATTTCTGAGAAATAGGCTTTATCTCATTCATTTAGTTATATTTTTCTTCTTTGATGCACTTTTTGAAGTATTTGCATCATTTTTTTGTATGGAGTTCTTTGATTTATGTGAGACTCTACATCTGACAATTTCAAGGTTGTTTGCCAAGAATATTCCAGTAATAGGTGGAGAATGGTGAAACACATCTTTAATCCTAGCACTAAGGAGAAGTCAGGTATATCTTCTTGAGTTCAAGGCTAGCCTGGTGTACATAGTAAGTTCCAGGACTATGTTGAGACCCTGTCTCAAAAACCAACAAATAGATAATATTTTAGTAAGGATAAACATTTGTTAATAGTAGTCTGGGATTTTTGTTCATTTGCTTGCTTTGGGTTTAGGTTTTCATTTATTCATTTGGTTTTAGAAAGACATTTTTTTATGAAAATGTAAATTTGTCATTAAAAAATAGATTTCAATTTCTGGATTTTGCCAATGGCATTTCCCTGTGAATCTCATTTCTGAATGTATCAAGTACTGTTTCTCACCGCATTTATTTTCCATTTTAGGCTGTTATCCAGAAGTTCCTCTATCTAGGTAGGTAGACATGCTTCTGGGCTATAAACACAACTTTTTTTTGGTTAAGACTCTCTCTTCTAGGTACATTACATTAAACTCTATGGATGTTAAATTGTGTTAATTCATTTTTTAAACAGTTCTCAGCACTGAGCTTGCACTATAGCACAATGCCTAGCAATTCCCCAAGAACATACTTAAGTCCTGAGCTGTGACATAGAGGGGAAGAGAGCTTTTGGTCAAGCCCTCTTATGCTCCTTCTGTGCCCCCAACCTCCCTATCCTGGGACAGAACTAAACCCACGGCCAGAGTTCTAGTCCCGGAGGCATAATTAGATCAGGAGAGCCCAAAAGTAGCCTTCCATCCCTTTGTGTGAGTTCAGTGCTGGGTGAAGTTGAGCTTCTCGAGGGCACATTCTGTAGACTGCATATTTCAATGTGCTAAGCAAGATTCCAGGAGTAAAGATAGGTATGCCTTTTCTCCTGGGACTGGAAATGCCAACCAGCCCCTTCAGCAGAAATGTCAGAGATGGGGTTTATTGAACACTGGTGCATCTGCACCTCAGAGACAGAATGGAAACCCCAGTCCACAATGAGCTATGGTGTCATCTCTTAACCAAGTCATCCCAAGGATATTATAAATGATCTGGGAAAAATAGAGCTTCTTTCTTTTTGCTTGTGTTTCTTCTTTGAAAAGTGTTTTGCTTAAAATCTCTTTCAAAGGAAATAAAGGCAATTAATGACCCAAAAGCACAGTACAAACAATTCTTTGATTTTTCTTTCAGGAGATGACCGGAACATTGAGGAGGTTTATGTGGGTGGAAAGCAGGTGGTTCCGTTCTCCAGCTCAGTGTAAGAAGACCCGTGGGCATCCATGATATTCTCCTGGAATGACATGGTTCTGCATCTTCCTTGTGCCCGGGTGCCAGTTAGAAAGTATATTTAAAAAAAAAAAGTATTGTGTTCTTCAGATGACTTCTGTTTCTATGTCTGCTTCCAGTGCTCACTTGGTAAATCGTGCAAAGGAAGTGACATGCTCCTTGACCCTGGTGGGGAGCATTCAAAATTCCATGATGGTGCCTACTTCGGGGCTGCTTAGATTTGTGTTAGGCTCATGCAGAAGGCAGTGTTAATAATGGGCGCTGTGCTTCTACTATTGAAATCAAACCTTTCTGTGCAGGGAAATACGGTGCAAAGAAATATCCCTATGTAGTTAGACATTCTGAGCTAAGTGAAAAGTAGGAGACTCCATGTGCCCCATTGAGTAGGTTTTTATGCGAGGGCACAAGCTAGACGGTGAACAGATGTTGGAAAAAAAACATTGATTGTGCTTGGAAATTAAGTACTGAAAACATCCATGTAAAAAGAGAACTTATTGGATTTTAAAATGTGCTTCTAGGTTGACCTTATCTATGGAAATTTGCACTTTATGGAATTTGCATTTCAGAGATGTGTTATTGTTATGTGTTGCCTTCTTTAGGGATGAATGGCAGAACCCGAATGCTACATGCTTTTTCAAATATAGTTCTATGCTTCAAAGTGTTTGACAGAAGCTGAGTATTAAAGATTTACAGTGTCTTAGGGATAGTATTCATATAGCCACATGGCATAAATAGTTGTGTTTTTGTGTCCTTCAAAGTCACCTTGATTTCTGGCTGTGCGGTGTTACAGTTGCTTCTATTTTATTAGATGAGAAAAAAGCCCCGCGTGCTGCTGCTGTCTAGGCTAGGGTCTCCATAAATCGGGGGAATACTGTACCCCTGGGAGCTGTTAGCAGTGACAGGACAGGGCTCTCTGCAGTGCCCCATCTACTCAGCACAGTGGGTCATTGTTGCTGTGAACTTTGCCCTCCTATCAGTGTGCTACAACTTAAAAGCCAAGTGCAAGTCCCTTTAAGAACTATAGATAAGGCTCTGAATTAAAAATACCCTGTTTTTCTAATTTATCAGATTGTCGCTTGAATTCCTTGAGGTTTTTCTAGCATCAAAACCTTAGTATAATGAGAAGGTTATAGAAATTCCATGTAATGCTTCTATTAGCAGGACTTGCTATTCTAGACATGAAGGAAAAATAAACAAAGGAGGACATTTTAGCTTCCCTAACTACACAATGTCCCTTCTTATAACAATGAAACCAGATTACAACCGCATGGCAGATTCTTAGGAAGCAGTGATGTGAGTTCTACATTTTCTTAATTTATTCCACACTCTATAAACAAACAAAAACAGGGAGCAGGTTTTGTCGACATATCATTTCATTCCCAGGGCTTAGGCGAGTTTCCGTATTATCCTACAACAGTTCTTAGGTGATAGAGCTAATTCCGTGTTAGCACGTGTTAGCAAGTCCGAGAGCACACAGTTCCTCCGCTGCCCTGTAAACCTCAGTTTCACATCGCATGCCAACTCGGCAGTAATTTGTCCCGACCTGTTTTCCTGGCAGAAGCACTTCTGGATGTGGTTGTGTATACATTACATCTAAAGATGGCACAAATATTTAGTCTCATTTAGTTTTAGCTTTTTTTAAAAAAAAGACAAGAGTTATTTTGCGTGTATATGTGTGTGTTGGGGGGATAGAAATGGATAGAACCAATTTCTGGTCTTAATCTTCCAGCACACCAGTAACATCAAAATGATCTGCCAAATCCCCTCCCCCATGTCTCTCTGAGTTTGGCAAAGTGTTTTCTGCTGTGTCTTTGGACTCTTACCAAAGGAACTTAGTTGCAGGGAATCTCACCTGAGTGACGTGGGCCTGGGAGCTTTGGTGTGGGTTGAGTAAGAGTTCTGCCAGTCAGCAGCTGCTTCCAACCTTCGCAGACCCCACACTCCTCTTCCTTAAGGGTGTGCATTTTGATATTGAGCATCAGCTTTTATTTAAACTTAAGATTCACGCACAGTAACATACATATGTGTAATTCTGGAAGCAGGAATAACAGTCATTTGACACCATCCGGTCAGGCATCCAGATTAGTCCTGATAGTGTGTTATAAGCTGAATAACTTCTAATAAAAACAATGTGTTGAAGTGTTTACATGTACTTTGATCTCCCTGCATCCCTTATAACTTATGAGTTTTATTCTCCCAAGTGAAGTGTTCCTCAATGTGTGACTTATGCCGTTTCAGTGCCCCACACAAGGGGTCAGATGTCCTGCACTTTGAAATGTTGACTTTCTGAATTATAGCCAGCACTATTCCTAGCCTATCCCAACTGTCACTTTTTGTTTGGATGGTTTGCTCTCTTTAGAAGAAAGGGAGAAGGAAAAGGAAGGAAGAAAAGAAGGGAGGAAAGGAGGAAGGAAGGAAGATTAAAACATTATCCCTCCTACTCCATATCATTTAACTTGTTTCTCTAGAATTTTTGATTAACTTCATTGTAAAAGGTTAAAAAGAACTGAAAAGTATCATGTGTATTACATTTCCAAAATTTCTTGTAACCAAAACACAAAAGTAGGCTAATCAAGTTAAATTTGATTTGGTGGGGGAGGCATTAAAAATAAGAGATTAGGACCCAAAGGGTTTTTCTATTCTACTGGGCCAAAGAGACTGGACTTTCCTCTGTGGCATTGTCTTAGCTGGCTCTTTCCTTGCCCTGTCAAAGACTTTAGAATCCAAGAAGATGTCTACCTTCACACCAGGAGGAGGCCTTTCTAAGTTAATTCTGTGAACATTTAATCTCTTTTCTTCTTCAGTGAGAAATTTCCAAGTTAAAGGAAAAGAAATGGTGGAAACCCCCTTCTTCCTTGCTTAGCTGATTTTTTGAAGTGTTCCCTTGGCTATCTCTTTGGCAAATGCTCTGAAATTTTACAGAGGAAACATAACGGCTGTGGGATCTGGCAGTGTGTTCTATCTTCACTCCCTACCAGATTATTCCTATTTTTAAACTTTTTTGCTCCAGAAGCAGACATATGGGAAGCCTTCAAGGCGTGCTGGGAAGAGCATTGTATCAGTTCCTCCTTTTATATGCATGTGAGGAAGGTACCTAGAGCTGAATGCTTTTGGAGCTTGGTGGGCATTTTTTAACGTTGCTGCTGCTGTTGTTGCTGCTGGAATATTCAGATACTTTAAGAGAGTGACCTTAGCTATTAACAAATAGAATGAGAGGCATAGCAAGAGCAATGACTTGAAATAATCTTTAAATCACAAAGATTCTATATAATATATTTAAGATCGAAAGGAGATGCTTGCAATTTCTCTGATCTACTAGCTGCTGCAGGTATGACGCCATACATTGCACTTTATTATGTCTCCAGAGAAGACGTAATAAATGTCTTTCTGAAGACCTGGGTGGAAGCAGATAGGTGAAAAGTCACTGAGAAAGAAAACAAAACAAAACTCTTGACATTTGTCGCCATAAAAATACCCCCCAAAATTCTTGATTGCCGCTTGTTGCCATGCGTGTCTCCAAGCCTACCCCAAACGTCCCTGCCCATCCCCAGCACTGAGCGTGAGAGAGCAAGGGTTGAAGGGTTCGTTTGTGGGTCTAGTCCAAATGCAGTGACATGCAAAAGCCAGCCAAGTCAAAGATGAAGGCTTTTTTTTTTTTACCAGGTTGCTTGAGTAACTGGTATCATTAACCTTTGTTACTTGGCAGTGACTCACCTGTCTACTTCTTACCCAGAAACCCTATCAGCAATCTTTCCTGACCTTATTGTTAACCTCTTGATGGCTGTTCTTAAGAATATAGACACACATGTGAATGTAGTCAAGGGGACTTCCTTCCCCTCGGTATTTGTATGATTTGCTAATTGTCACTGTACTGAGTGGGCTCCTTTGTGCATCAGGAAAAAAATATAATAAACGTGATTTTGTGTTTGCATTAGCGTTTGTTGTGTTTTCTGTGTTTGTTTTGGCAAATTCTATCAGCATGATGAAAGGAGGATGAATTTGATAATACATTTTTTTTCCTTTTCTTATAACAGATTAAAAAACAGACTGGAATGTTTAGCTGTGGGCCAACAATACGTCCATCATATCACTATACATGGCTTTTTAAATCAAGCCACTGGGATGGTTCTTCTAGACTGGCAGCTTGTTTGGGTTGATGGGAGGATTAGTAAAATCTTATTCCGGCTGTGTCTGTGAAGAAGTGCAAGAGATCAATAGATCATGCAGGCTGTGGTCTAATAACTAGTTTAATTCACTGATGGATCCAAAATTCATCCAGAGTGTTGGGAGGTGGTGGAACTACAGCAGGTGAGGCCTGTTGGGAGGAAGTAGATCACTACAGACATGCTGTTTCTGTTACTGTTCCACCCAGCTTCCTGTCTGCCATGACGGAAGTCATTCTACCATGCCCTCCTTGCCATGGTGGACTGAAACCTCTGGTATCGTGAGCAAAGTGAACCCATCCTCTATGAAACTGCTCATGTCAACGAATGCTGCTAACATTCTCCTTCCTTTAGGGTCAGATCACTATACTGGTTTTAGTACAGTTGATTTTTTGTATTTAAAATGTATTTGTTTTTTGATTTTTGTGCCTGCTATGTGTCCCACATGTGTGCAGGTGCTTGTGAAGGCCAGGAGAAGATGTCATAGCTCCTGGAACTGGAGTTACTGGAGGTTGTGAAGCTCCTGATGTGGGTGCTAGGAACTGAGCTCGCATCCTCCTCAGGAACAGAAAGTGTTTTTCAACTGTTGAGCCATCTCTCCAGCTCTGTTTGTCATGTTTTGAAAGCAAAAACCCAGAAGAAGAAATCCACCTCACATCAATAATCAGTTCACTGGGCTGTAGCAAAGGCAGATCTAAGGGGAAGTTACGAGCAGCTACATTTTAAAAACCAGGGAGCTCTCAATATTTCATCTTTGAGATGTAATGACTCATTTCTAAGCCTTAGAAATGAAAATTAAAATAAATGTAAAACTTTAGAAGGAAAAATAGTAAAAATCAGAGTCGAAGCTAAAGAACTAGCAACAAAAAAATCAATAAAGAGGATCAATTAAAGAGTTGATTCCTTGAAAAAGAAAGAAAGGACAAATCCTTAGCCAAGTCAACTTAAAGAAAAAGACCTAACTTAATAAAATTACATTGAAATTTATGTATTACAGTAGATGCCACCAAAAACAAGAGGATCTTTAGAGATTATTTTGAATTTTGCATTCTCACAAACTGGGAAAATCTAGAAAAAAATAGAAAAATTCTGAATACATATGTTTACCACTTGAGCCAAGAATATAACCACAATCTAAACAAACAGTTGCTAAAAATGAGATTGAACAAGAAGTCTCCCATCAGAGGAAACCCCAGGACTGGACACACACTTACAGGTGAATCTTACCAGGCAGTTGCAGAATTATCAATACTGTTCTTTAAACTTCTATAAGCCAGATGGTGGTGGTGCATGTCTTTAATCCCAGCACTTGGGGGGCAGAATCAGGCAGATCTCAGTGAGTTTGAGGCCAGCCCAGACTACAAGAGCTAGTTCCAGGACAGGTTCCAAAGCTACAAAGATTCCTATTACGAAAAAAAAGAAAGAAAGGAAAATATTCTATAAAATATAAGTGGAAAAAATACTCATTTTATGAAGGAAGATGCAGTAATACAAAGGCCAATTAACAACAATAGCAAAAATAAACATGCAAAAATTATCAACAAAATGCTGCAAATAACACATTACAACCATGACTAAGTTGGTCTCATTCTAGGGAAGCAAGAATAATTCTCCATCCATTAATCAATAAACATGTTAGAGCCGGTAGATAGAATCAAGAACCAAAATTATATGGTCATCTCAATAGATATAGAAAAAGCTTTAGATGAGTTTCAACACTGCTTCATGTTAATGATGCTGAAGACATCGGGAACAGAAAAATCGTAATAAAGGCCACATTCATTAAACTTATAACTAACATCTTACTGAAGGGCAAACTGGAACGCAAAGCAGCTGTATACACAATTAACTTGCAAAATCATTAGTTAAAAAAATACATCAAAAGTCACCAACTAGGAAATCAGGAAAACAGTCCCATTCACAATAGTCAACAAAAAAACAACCCACTAGGATTAAACCTAATAAAACATGTTAAAAAACCTTTTTAATCCTTTAATCCTAACACTTGGAAGGCAGAGGTAGATGGGTCTCTATGAGTTCAAGGTCAGCCTCATTCACACAGTGAGTTCTAGATCAGCCAGGGACACATTGTGAGACCCTGTCTTAAAACATCAAAAGAACAAAAGCAGAGGAGATGAAAATCATGTTGCTTGTATGTAAATAAATGGAATTCAAGGTCATCCTAGCAGGGAAAGCTAGCTGTGAAGGCATAACTCACAAACAATCCCACACCAGTTTGGAATTATGATTAATAGAATGGTTACTTATTTAAAGAGAAAAAAACTTACAGATCACTGTCCCAGACAACAGCCCTCTGGGCGATCAGGAAAGGAGTCGAGTAGCCGGAAACAAGCTGGAAGCAAGAGAGCGAGCACACGGCTATTGCTGCTTTTTAAAGCAAACGAGACCATGCCCAAATGGGCTGGTATCTTAAAGTCTGCTGGCTGAAGGAGCAACATAACCGTACTCAGGAAGGCAATGGTTGCAAGTGTTTCCTCATACATGGAATCAAGACAAAAGACTTAAATGGCACAAAAGAAGAAGAAGAGAGAGTACTGGGATGAAAAAGGGATCAAGAGGAGGGGAAAGGAAGGAAGAGGACAGTTTGGAGTGGTGAGGATGTATACAGTACATTGTATGCATGTAAGAAAATGCCAGGCAAAGCTATGGTTTGTACAAGATGAAAGAATTAGTTCACACATATAAACGGGTGTGAAACTTTAAAGCAGGATTTATAAAATAGTACACTGTCTGTGATGTCCTAGGCTATTTTCAATACTATTCTATTTTGTTTTCTAAATTGTAGTCTATGTTTGTATTTCACTGGAGCATTTTAGGATTCTGGATTCTTGAGCGCCTATTGATGGACAGACCCATGCCCTCTGTATCAGCACTGTGCCAGGATCTGAGTTTAAGCTTGGCCTCACCATTACAGGAAGACAGAGTGGAGGAAGGAAAATCAAATTGCTGTAAATCTCCATGGCTCCAGTGTCTTGTTTTTTGGCTTTTGTTTAAGGATTCAACAGTGTCCATCTTTAGGTCATGAGGATTAAGTAATGAGGTACTTAGATGGTAGGTAAGACAGCACCCAGTTACTTAGGTGCTCACAGTTCAGTAGATAGGACCAGAAAAGTGGAATACACACTAAAGATTAATGAAACCATTGAAGTCTTTATGAGTTTATTTTTGAATAGTAATCAAGTAATGTTAAGGTAAGGATCTTCTGTATATAAAACTTCCCACATATGATTTCTCAATAGTATTATATATTCATGTTCCTAACTTACAACATGAAGCATAAAGTCAGCCAGAGATTTGATCTATAAATTTACCCCTATACCCATGCCCTCAGGAAAGGTCTGTGAGGCTTCTCCCTCTTCCCCAGAACAGCTGGAGGGGCTGCTGGAAGGGCAGCTTCTGAGGATTGAGGAACTGCCCAGGTTTCCGAGATGTGGTGGTCCAGGGATTCAATCAATCTTTTGGGTAGAAAGCCTGAGGACCTTCAGCTGAAGTACATGTCAAGCAATTGCATTAAGACTCTGCCCACCCTGGGCAGTTTTCTGTTCTCTGCCAAACCTCTAGCTGTACTGTCTCGGACCACTCACCGTAAAAAAGTCCCTGGTGTCATTGTGACACAAATTATGGGAGTAACCAACCACTCTTTGATTGGATTTAGGGTCCACTCCATGAGATGGGACCCAGACCAGACACTGTTAAAGTGGCACAGACCTGAGACTAAATAGGTCATCCCCCCCCCCCCCGGGGGAATACCACTGTCATTCAGCTATAGGAACATAGCAATAAAATGGCTCCTAATGATCTATGGCTGTACCCATAGGTCAGAGCATTACCCACGAAGCTGCTTCTTGCAGCAGATGATAATTTAAAAAGGAACCCACAAATGGACAATGTACAGAAAGTGAAAAACTTCGGGTCACTCAACCCTTAATGGGATGCCATTATCAAATCCCTCCACAAAACGCTCAGGGATCTATGCAGAAGAAGGGGTAGAAAAAAGGTAAAAGCCAATTAAATTGCATCACCCAGACACAACAGGACTGATACACATATGAACTGGCAGAGACAGCGACAGCACACACAAGACCTGTACATGTTAAAACCAGACAAAATCTTAGCACAAAGAAGGGAAGTAGACATGGGGCTTCGCCGCAGCTGAACAGCTGTTTGCGATTGATACCCGCTGGGAAAGGGAAATCGGTTTTCTTCAGTGGAGTGGCAGTGGGTCTATCAAATACACACAGGGCGGGCCCCAAGTCCAGGAAGAGCTGGCTATTAACTAAGGAACTCCACTTTTTGTCATTTGCTTTTTGTTTTGTTTTGTTTTAGTATTTTTAAGCACTTTTTTTTTTCTTTTGAGAGAAAGAACATGAAGTTGGGTGGGTAGAGAGTTGGGGAGGATCAGGGAGTTTGGGAAAGTGGGAAAGAATGTGATCAAAATCTACTTTATTAAAAATCCTAATTAAAATGGGTAAAGGGCAAGGATTCTCTGTTTTTTAAATGAATAAGATGGCATTTTAAAAAGCAATGCACTTTTTTCCCCACTGAGTCAGGCATCACTTTTATCTTCAACCACGTCCATAATGTGCACCATTTTGGGAGCGGCAAGGATCACAGGTCTGCTACTCCAGAAAAGTGCAGGGATTTCTGAGTCCGGAAACTGTGCTGTGTACGCAGCAAAGGTCCTTCTGCCATCACTGGGCAGAAAGCTTCTTAGCAAACCTTGCACCCCAGCAGGTGACAAGAACAG